GTCGTGAAATTCGAATGGAGGAACATAGGCATATGAGAGTAATAGAAGAACAATACTATGAAACGGAATTGATGGAACGACCCGAGAGAAGTGAAAAACGTCACAAAAGATCACACAAACATGAGAGACTTCGTGAAAGAGACAGAGAAAAAGCAGAGCGTGAAAAAGAGCATAGAGAAAAGCAACTGCGCGAAGCAATGGAAATTGTTACAGAAGAACCTGATGAAATGGAAATCAATGAAATACCGATACAGCCAAAAGATCCGAAAGAAATGACCGAACAAGAACTTAGAAAAGAAAGATTACTGGAAGCTGATAGAGAGATGGCTAGGAGAAAAGAAGTCTCCAGATTAGAGTTGGAAGCACGACGGATGAAAAGAGGAGAGAAACGACCTTTAAGTCCAGACAATAATCAAGATCCATCTATTGTAGAACTATCTGATGAAAGTCCGAGTCCTGTTCATTCAGACGAAATTCGTTCTAAATCTATTGAGTAAGGATTGTATTTTGTTATAATTGATGCTCTAATATTTTATTTTTAATCTCTATTTCACTTCACAACTTTCCGACTATTCGTTTACAGATCTAGGCATTCGTCCGATGGTCAAAGAAGTATACGTGAGAGATCATCCGATAGACATTCTTCTGATTCATCCGAATCTAGTAGTGATGATGACGATGAATCAAACGATTCAAATAAAGGTTCCAATGCAGATTCTAATGATGGTTCCGATTATAATAATCCAAGTCCTTTATCTGTTGATCGATTAGCTAAATCTGATCATTCAGATGGAGAATCGCCTGGACATGTAGATTCAAATGGTGCGTCTAAAAATATAGAGGAAGAAGAAGAAAAAAAGGAAGAAGAAGAGCCTGAATTACCTCCATACTTGCCAGCAATTCAAGGTATGTAATTGAATTTTTTATTTCGTTTGGTTTTCATATTATATGAAGATATCCTCTTTGTTATAGGTTGTAGAAGTGTAGAAGAATTTCAGTGTTTAAATCGTATCGAGGAAGGTACGTACGGTGTAGTGTACAGAGCACGTGACAAACGTACGGATGAAATTGTTGCTCTGAAACGGTTGAAAATGGAGAAAGAAAAGGAAGGTTTTCCAATTACTAGTCTCAGGGAAATAAATACTTTATTAAAAGCTCAACATCCGAATATTGTTACTGTTCGAGAAATAGTTGTCGGCAGTAATATGGATAAGATATTTATTGTAATGGATTATGTAGAGCATGATTTAAAATCATTGATGGAAACAATGAAACAAAAGAAGCAAGTTTTTATACCAGGTGAATATAATAAAATAATTATAATATTTAGAGAAAAAATGAAATGTACATGTTTTCCTTACAGGGGAAGTCAAGTGTCTTATGCAACAACTATTACGGGCAGTTGCACACTTGCACGATAATTGGATACTTCACCGAGATTTGAAAACGTCGAATTTATTGCTAAGTCATCGAGGCATTTTGAAGGTTGGTGATTTTGGTTTAGCACGAGAATATGGTTCTCCTTTGAGACAATATACTCCGATTGTTGTAACCCTTTGGTACAGAGCTCCTGAATTGCTACTGAGTGGAAAAGAATATAGTACTCCCATCGATATGTGGTCAGTGGGGTAAGAAAATAAAAAAAATCTGAAAATTGGAAAATCAGTTTTCATTTGTATATGTCGCTGTTGTTAATGACATTATACGATTCTTTTAGATGCATTTTTGCAGAATTATTAAGAATGGAGGCATTGTTTCCAGGTAAATCCGAAATTGATCAATTGAACAGAATATTTAAAGAATTAGGTACTCCAAACGATCGGATATGGCCAGGATATAGTAAATTGCCAATGGTACAAAAAATTCCATTTGCTCATTATCCTGTAAATAATTTAAGGCAACGTTTTAGTTTATCTTTGTCAGATTTGGGTATCGAACTACTAAACAAGTATGTTTCTTTGGATAATAATTTCTTAGAATCTTAATATCGTTCTTTTCTTTTTATTAATTTTAAGCCAACGTTTGTATAGGTTTCTCACTTATGATCCCCAACAACGAACCTCAGCGGAAGATGCCTTAAAACATGGCTATTTTACAGAAGCGCCGTTACCTATAGACCCACAAATGTTCCCTACATGGCCAGCCAAATCAGAGTTGGGTGTAAGAACAGCGAATGCTTCGCCAAAACCACCAAGTGGTGGAAAAGAATATAAACAATTAGGAGATGGTGATGATGCTGATTTAAGTAACTCCGGTTTTCATATGGGTCTCATGGAAGGCGGTAGACAACCACCCGTTGGTGGTGGTTTTCATTTAAAATTTTAAAAATATGTGACGAATTCTACGTAAATAAAAACAAGAGTGATTGATTTTCTATAAAATAAACTGTGTACATAAATTTCGAAATACTTGGTATTTCGCAATGAGATTGTATGAAATGAAAAAGATTGAATATACAATTAAAGAATGTCACAAATTTCATAAAAAAAGATTATATAGTAACTTGTGTCTTTTGTTATGTGACACTAAATCTTATTATTCTTTCAGACGGAGCTTCATCAGAGAATACTTTTGGAAATTTATACTTTATTTTATTTTATATAACAGCCGATAATTATAGCTAGGAAGAGACGGATGGTTAAAAGGGCGTCAACAAGAATATCATTTTTTTATCGAGTTTATTAGGTTCAATACATTACAAGCTTAAATGATTCTTTGAAATGTATACGTTAAATAAAAAGCATAGCTTCATTATCATCGAATTTCAGCAATTTTACTTTCCAGCATTGTTCATGTTTTTTGGTAGGCCTAGCAATGAATTTATTAGTTCAGAGTTGCGTTTGGAATAACAAAGGCATGGCGGCAAATACAGCGGTCTGGTAGATTGTAGTTCGTTATTCTAGAATTATATTTCACACGATTATTAGAATCATTAAAATGAAACAAGATTCATATTTTATATCTTTTTACCATTCCTCTGCCATATGGTAAGTTCAGTCCTAATAGATTCCTGTAAGTATCTTCGGTTGTTGCCAGTGTGATTCCCAGAATCATAATTAATAATAGTACACATTTTATCGATGCCATACCTTATTTTTAAAAACAACACGTAAAAAATTGTTAATATGGATATGGATGAGTAAAATATATCTTTTATTACCTTTCCTGTTTCTTTTAATCTTTAGTTTAAACTATTTTAAACAGCTACTTATTTTTCGTACTGCAGGACCTGTATTGCAGCTGCAAATACTGTTTCTGTTAGCTGTATCAAGTGGAAGTGTCTTAAGAACCCTAAGCTACCATACTTTTATATGGGTGATATTCGTGGGGGTTGAAATCTGAGCATGACAGACGGATCTGCAAACGACAGTTATCTCTTCGAGGAACTATCGAAGACATTCTTCCGTTTCCTTTTTTTTTTTTTAATTATTATGTAATATAATATTCAGGACTGTCAACGACAGAGTTTTTAACCACTATGTGGGGAGTAGAAAATACATGTTTCCTTCTTTTTATTTAAAAATTAACTTCATATTGATGTATCATTTCATCGTGGTATTTTTTCACAGGATTACAATGGATTGAAAGTTCTGGAGAGTATTATTTTTCCATCCCAAGATGTTGGCTATGGATGTCCTGGACACCTTCATCCTTTACCTTTCTTTTCCATGATGCTTCATCATTTATATGAAGGTTTCTAATTCTGTTTGCTGTTTTTTTTTATTTTTTTTTTTTTAACAATATCCGTCAAATGTTTTTTTTTTTTTACATAAATTAAATTTAATATACGGGCGGTAAAAGTAATAAGAATTATAGAGAAAATGATGTAACATAATTTATAATGTCAATATGGTCCGATTAATATTTACTATTATCGTTATTACTATTGCACCGCTTTATCGACGTTTCCTTAAATTGTCATATGTGTTGGAAAAGTAGATCAAAATCAGGAGAAATCCTTGCTGAAGTAATCAACGTTCATCCGCTTGTACTTGCGATAAAAAATACGCGGTTCATGAACATCTTATTTCCATTTACGATGTATTGCATTCTAATTAATGACACGATAGTGTAACATATACAATTTATATATACATGTACAGTACGGAAAAGTATTGGAGATTTCAGTATTCGAATTTACGATTATTACAATGTTTCATTATATGTTTTGCATTTGTTCCATTATCGATGTCACACATGATTCCTTGTGTTCTATTTTTACACCAGTTATAAAGGAATTCGACGAAAGTTTTATTAATTCTTAAAGGACAAAGCTTCAGGAATATTTTCCATTTGAATATTTAAAAATACAAATCACGACGTTTTTCAAATATGTAAAAGGCAAAATGATAAGTTCAACGAATCATTTGTAAATGCGATTTTATTTATATAGTTTCAATAATTAAGGGGATTGTATTTATTCATGAGACACCTACACTAAAATGATGAACGATAAATACTGAAGATAGGTACGATATTCGCAGTTCGGCGGTTACGAAGGAACAGAGTGGGGGAGGGGGAAGAACGAGAGGACAAAAGAAAAAGAGGAAGGGAGCTTAGAGTTTCGAGAGTCCATGCACGATAATCGAAATCTTCGTACCCTGGGATAGGTGTGGGTCACTAACCAGCAACCAGAAAGTTGGCCCGAGACTGGTGTCGTGTCCTTGATTCTTTCTTAAGACCCTTCGAACTCAAACGTCGCATGTCGATCATGTTACAATTCAGTTTTCTCGACATCCAAATATTTTTCATTGTACACGAGAAAGTCCTCGAATTATCTTGTCTTTTAACCATCTATGGAATTTCGTATCTTCTCCGATTTTTTTCTTCAATTTCTTGTCCATAACTCGCTTTCGCTAAATAATTACGAAGTTAACACCATAGATGACGTAATTAAAAGCAGTTTCATTTCTTTGCTACAACTATCGTAACTTTAATTGATGAATGATTCTTGTGGATTTCCCAAGGATACTACGACTTTCCAAGGTGTGTTGTATAAATCACATAGATGTGGTAGCTGGAAGCACTTAACACGGGTCAAACGAAACGAACGTTTTTGTGTCTCGAATTATCTATCGCTTTCCTGTTAATAGCTTTCTCGTGTACGTATCCATGGTAAAATATTAAACGATCGTCCAAGTTAAGGTCTTTAGGAGAAAAGATGCACTAATAGCTGCTGGTTTGACTAGATACGCGACACAATGTATCATTCTATTTATTGGGTCAAGGTTTCCGAGAAATCGTAAAATATCATCAAATTTTCTTGGCCATCCTCGAAACTTTCCTTCTCGTCGGTTTTCAATTTCTATTCTTTCTGTGAATCCAACCGCAGATTTTATCATGTATCACGAGATAAGAATCGTAAGAAGAGGGATCTCATTTCATATTTATACACATAGTTTGTCACATGCGTGTCTAGTCGTGTGACTTAATTATGCATTCCATTTAGTTATTAAAGCGCTTTAACAGGTTCTACGTACGAAAAATTCATACAACCTGTATCGAAACACATTTGACTTCCCGATGCCAATGAACTTCAAAGACTACGTCAATAATCCGCTCCCGCTGAGCTGGTCCCCCAGCGCAAACTGGATCTTTCGCGTGGGATTAATTCGGGAAACGGAGAACAATTAATCGATTGGCATTCTGAAATTTGAATACTTGTCCCGTCTAACTCCTTGCGGCTACACCTCTGTCTTCCTCTCACCATTTTGTTTTCTCGTTTCACCATAAATATTACCTTCCCTCCTTTTTCACCAAATCTAATCGCGCATCAAGCCTCGAGAGCCTATCTGTTCGTTCCATATGTACGTTTTAGCGTAAATGATCTTTTAGCTAATTTTTTTTTCCCGAACCTTTTTTTTTACCCCTGTCGTTAGACGGCAAATAAGTCGATAAAACAACCGGTCACAAGTTCAAGGCGAATCATTGGCATTCCCTAAAGTGCCTTATTTTTAGGATACCACATGGATTCTCGAGGATACCTGTACCACGCATCAATTCTCGAATTCTTCAATAGGACGAGTCCTCCCCAAGTTCCACGGACTATCTCGTCATTTTTCCTTCGTTTCTCAATTAATCCTTCGAAGGGTTTGGAAGCCTCTACTTTTTAACGATCCTACGAGAAGATGTTCCTTTCTCCCATCAACCTGTCTTTTATTACGGCGACTTTTATCCAATTTACGAAAGGCAAAACAACGATAATTTGACCAATTTCTGAAACTAATAAAACTTGTTTTTCTCAATTTGCATCTATTCAAAGGCCGGAACCGATGTTTACTGGGATTAAAGATGCAGCCATGTGACGTATAAAGAGGAAAAAACATTTTGTTTTTCGAAAGCGTGCCTGGTTTATTAAGAAATATATTATCCGGTTAGCCACATAGATATTGAATTTTATTTGGTATATTCTATTTATGAAGATAAATTCAGAGATTGCAAGAGTTCAGATTCGTAATAGAAGTATTCGTTGCAATCTTTAATGTCATTGAAAATAAAATACGTATAACACAGGATAAGTATGGCATACGTAACTGAGCATTATTCTAGGAACGTAGTGTCGTACTGATCAGCCCTTGCGGAAAACGAGATGCTTCTGCAACGGACATTATCAGGCAAATACGATGCACTTATCCTTGAATTAACAATGCATTCCTTGAACGGAGATATCGCTCTATCCTCGCAATCGACCTAGCAGAAACAGTAACCGTGTTTCAATAATTAACACATTCAAAATTGAAAGATTTAAATCGTAAATTTGTCTAATTAAAATTTCTGTATCAACAGGTCGTGCATACCGTAAGCCGACTGAACAACGTTACGATTACCTCATCGTGTCATCTGGTAACACGCTGACAAAATTACCACCGTTATTAACGAATAAGTACAATTAAGAAAAGGAAGTTATACATTTCGCAGAGGAAATTAGCTATGGGTATTACAAAATTTAATTCGTCTTATTTAACAACATCGGCAAACGAAACTCTACACCTAAGCTTCTTTTTACGTTATTATAAGGGTTAAATGCGAAAATCATCCGAACCCGGTGGAAAAGAATGAAAACATATGTGGTATTAGGTGGTACGAAACTCCCGAAATGCACGCCGAGGTGCAGGATCACGCACACAAAATGACACGCCGGTGTGTCATTGCTACAAGGTGTATCGCGCGGTTCGAGAATTGGTGTACGTACACGGTCGTATTCTTCGTGGTCAAGGACGTCAGAGACAGGGTCTCCGCGTAGGGTGCGGAAGCCGAGGGGCCCCTGGACGATGGAGTAGGTATATATGGACGTCCCCGCGCGTTCGGAATACCAGATTCATGCAAGTTAGCCCTCCACGCGAAGCGGGTGGTGCGCTTCGAAATATTGATCGCGAACAATCTGGCGAAGGAGTTGTACGGAGGGGCCCAGTAGTGGTTTCTTGATCATCATCGGTCAGTGCAGTGGAATCGACTGTTATTCACGCTTCGGATCAGCCAGCTTCTAGACTGCCCGCAACCCGGACACAGTCTTTTGGAAAACTTCCCTCCGTTACTTTCTTATGTCAAGGTTCGTCCGACTGCTTATTATTCTTTGATTAGCTAGATCTTGTTGCTTCCTTCCTATCAGACGAGTAAACTCTTCTTCTCTCTTCCAAGAATGCCTGTAATTTTTAAAACGTAGATTTGTACGTGAATTTTGTGACATCGACACGGATTTTATTTTTAACTATTGATCGAATAAATCACGCCTTCGGATATGCACGATCACGATTTATTGCCGCTAGATATATCCCTCGGTGATAAGATAGAAAAACAATGAACAATATAGGGTTCGATAACCTGTTAAGTGGTCGTTAAAAGTAAGTTAAGTAATTCGAATCTCGTTAAGCTCCGAATGATTGAACAACTTACGTTTGAAACCACTCGTCTTTTTATAATTTTTGTCTCGCAAGGTTGAAGCCTTGGTAAAATCCAATGTATTCTCCAAAGTGTCGTAAATCTGTTATCAAAAAATGGAATATCAAGACGTATGTAAGAGTGGTAAAGTCGATAAAGAATGACATGTCATTGATGGCATTGTCATTGACATTTGAAGCAGTATCAAAAGAATGGCAGCTAGCGACTGGCTGGCAAACATTGTCCTCCTTACGGTCACTTCCACCTACGAGCGTTGCATTTTTAATGGTTAGCCACAATCGCGAGGATTCAAGTAGCGGCGCGTGTCTTTGTCCTCGAGTGAATCAGCGTACGGTGTCCGCATAAATTTCGATTTCGCGGTTCGTATTGTTATATATCTCTTCTGATGTCCGACGATTCATCACACAGTCATCAAGTAAGTTGCTTTAAGTAAAAGTACACGAATGCCAAGGTTACCAGGGTCTAACTATGAAAAAATTGTCGTTTGTTCGTGAAATGGAGAAAATCCGGTCGAGGATTCTTTCCTTTTTAAATTGTTTTCAGACATTCTTCTGTGAAGAAATTGAAATTTACCTTAAAATTAAAGTAAATTCGATTCATAGAATTTACTTTGAAAAATTAAATTTTTCTTATCTTCAACAGCGGCGATTTTAAATGTTCGAACATCTTCGAGACTTTCAAGGACTTTAAACAGTAATATACCTTATATTTAAGCACCGTATGATAATAAGCATAGCTATAAAGATTCAAAAGTTCCATCTCGAGTACGTTAAAGATTTAAGGAAAGGCCTGCTGCAGGTATCATCTAAAGACATTGTGTATAATTGCTAAAGAATATTTCTTCAAGGTATACCGTGATAGGTCGTTATTATAATTGGACTCGTCGAAATGCAATTATCACAGCAGCCGGAATTTTTATAATGCGAAGCGCACCTTGTTCTACATATACTTCTTTTTGGTGCTAGTGCACGCGTGTCTCGAGTGCAGGACAGGTTTGCTGGCTGACACATACATCAAACAAGCATGTAGATGATTCGTCCAGCAAACCTGGTTCTCCAGAAAAAAGACATCAATGTATTTAACACCCGATAAATCACGGTTTCCTGTGAAATTCCTGTTCGCTAATTACAGTGGTTTATACTTGTCACATTTACTGCCCAGTTTAATCCATGTTGATACTAATCACACTCATTAGCCAGTAATTTTATATCTTTTTTTTTGTAAGTACTTCTACAGGTGGTGGTCTTTTTACGTAGGCAAAAATTATTCCGGCTTGCTGTTCTATCGCGTTAAGGGAAACCAAAGCTTATTAGCAGAAGGTTCCACCACTAGGACAGTCCGATAAACTGTTAAAACAATTAAGTTAATTTATTACACGTACAAACGAACTAGGAACTGATGTGAATAGTACTATATTAATTTTTAAAAAATTTTCTGTTCTTAGCTATGATACCTTGGCTGATCCTAGTCTTCGCAACCTCAGCAGTCGTAGGTTCATCTCAGCGGATATCAGTTCCTGACATATTACAACCACCATGGGTCCCTGTTGAAGAGGAAACAGATGTAGAAATCATCGACGTGCCTACATTTCAACGAGGTGCCGTCGAAGATCCACCGATGATCGAGGATTCGTTGAAGGATTCAGCCATCAACGCGGAATATGGTTCTCACAGATTTCCATTACGTGATGCGGTCGAAGCATTGCCCGCAAATAAGATCGATAGCCAAGTCACCAGTCTGCCTTTGCAGAATTCCAAAGAGTTAGTATTTTTATTAGTATATATTATCGTATTTCACGATTGCATTTTATACGGTACAATTCTCTTCGACATCGAGTTTCATTTGCAAAGAATCAAGGTGCATTTCATTTGCACCTCGTGTTTACATTTACCTTTCATGATTAATTTATTAATCATTACTTTCTGAGGTTGCAAATTGCAACTGCTTATGGAAGTACTTGATGTCTCGGATTAACTTCTTGTTCACTGGATAATTAATGAAAGATTTTACTTCTTCAGTGGCCGAGTGCCTTTAAGGGACGCTGTGGAACATCGAGAAGCCCCCTTCTTTGGCAACGTCGATCATGAGTCCATTTGGATCGAGCCATTAGCACCACCGATCTTAACAAGAATGGGACAAATAGTGAATCCAAAAGTGGTATGTCATGTGGACTCAAGTGCGGTGCATAGGGTTGAACCGTTTTCTTTGTTTCCACAATCGATACCAGACCATCGATGCAGTCATTTAATTTACGATGCCACCATTTTGGGTATTTAATTCTTCCAAGTTAAAAAATCTAATATATTGATAATAAAAGAATAAATCAAGATTAACCGTTCTTATTTTTAGATCCGGAGCAATTAATCATTATCTCGAAAGACCATGAATACGATGAGATCAAGGGTAAAGTGACCAAACGTTCATTATTCCGCGTAAAGAAAGAATCGATAGTTGAAATCGCGAGTCCCGTTAATTTATTCCATCAATTCAAATAGGTGGATATAAGGCGATAACGGAACGTCGGACGAGAGACCCAGCATTGCGAATACTTGTCTCAATTACGGCCCCAGACCAGGGTAAACTATTTTCTGAGCTGACCAAGAACCATTGCACCTTCCACTGTGAAAAATTCGGGAAGTCTATCTTGAAATTTCTTCAAACACACGACTTCGACGGCATAGAAATCAATTGGGGAAGCTCGGCAGATCGTTCAAACGATTTGAAACTTTTGTTAAAAGCAATTAAAAAATCTTTTGGTAATCGGGAATATATACTTGCTGTGGCTCAGAGGCCAGGTGATTCTGTGGACGTAGAAATTAGTTCGCTGGCTGATTTGGTGCTTCTGAAAGCGTGGAGAGACAATCCTGTATTTAGAAGGGAAAAATTGGCTTTCCACCCTGCGCCGTTGAAATACATTATTCAAGTGACTAATAAATGGATCGATCGAATACCGAGAGAGCACAGGACGAAAATCGTTCTTGAACTACCTATATTTGGACATCGATATACTTTGAAATTTGGGAACTTTACGGATGCTGGTGCACCTGTTATTGAACCGAACATTCAAGATGTATATAGTAAGCAAAAAAGTGGAAGGATGGCTTATTATCAGGTATTTGGTAATTTATCTTATCTGAAATAAATTAGTTTTCTTTTATATTTCATTATTATTATATTTAGATTTGCGAAAAATTGGAAGATAGATCGTGGACCTCCGGAAGAGATGAGGAAGGTCCTTATATAAAACGTGGAGATCAATGGATTGGTTACGAGGATCCATTATCAGTAAAAATCAAAGTAGCTTACGTTAGATCGATGAGACTCGGCGGAGTTTCTTTGTGGTCTCTCGATTTGGATGATTTTCAAGTTGGTATCGCACTGGTTTTTCCTTTCATCAAACTGAAACAAATGCATACTGTTGCATGATGCATTTAATGCATAATTTTCAGGGTATTTGTGGGGATTCGTGGCCTATGTTAAACGCTGCAACAAAATCGATAGGCTTTTATGATGAGTCACAATTGACAAAATGTTCTACAGACGGTCTTTCTAGAGATCCAGAAAATTGCTCGGGATTCTATTCTTGTTATAATGGTAGCACACTCTCTAATTTTTTCACTTTCCTTGACTTACGTTTAAATTACTTTATATTTATTTCTATGCACTATTTATTTCTCTTTAAAAGGTATACAGTATCAAAGCCTATGCGGACCTGGAAGATTCTTCAACTCGGTTACTAATCGCTGTGTAAAAGCGAGTTTCGATGTTTGTAAATCAGGACAGTTTGATAAAATTCGAGAGGATCCGTACCAGACTGAAATAAGAGAGACACAGGAATTGCAACAATTAGAAATCTCCTCGGTAAAGGGTCCGCGCGTAGTTTGCTACGTGACTTCATGGTCGCTATATCGAAAGGGAGATGGACTATTCGTTCCAGAACGACTAGACTCCCGCTTATGTACTGATATAATTTACGCCTTTGCCGGATTGAATCCAGACACGTTACTTATTCAACTATTGGATCCCTGGGTCGACATAGAAAACAGTAACTATGTCAAAATTTCTGTATCAATACCAAAGCAAACAAAAATGTATGTAATACAAGGGAAGCAAAGATTGCTCATATATTATAAATAATTGTAAAAAGTTTTTAAAGAGAATCCCAGTGATTTATATGAAATTTTCAAACCAATCATTTTATTTGCTTTGGCAGTACTTTCGTTATATTATTTATTTTTCTTGTCGTAAATAAATAAATATTTTCAGACTTGTATGAACGAGTTAGAAGGATAAAGGGATCAAGAGTGCTATTAGCTATTGGAGGTTGGACAGATAGTAGTGGTGATAAATACTCCCGTTTGATAAGCAGCGGTGTTGCTCGTCGTAAATTTGTTACAGCTACGATCAATTTTTTGAAAAAACATGACTTTGACGGTTTGTCCTTTGAATGGAACTATCCAAAATGTTGGCAAAGTAATTGCAAAAAAGGACCTGATTCCGACAAACCCAATTTCACTAAATTAATCCAGGAACTAAGAAAAGGATTCGATCAACAGGAACCGAGATTTACGTTGGCTGTAGCATTTTCAGGCTACAAAGAAGTAATTGATAGAGCCTATGAAGTCCGCGAGGTCTCAAAACTGGCGGATTTCGTGTCGGTAATGACGTACGATTACCATGGTGCATGGGAATCTAGAACAGGACATTTATCAGCTTTGTTTGGAAACTCTGCTGACACTAACCCGTACTATAATGTCGTAAGTACTGAAACAAGATACATTCAGCAACAAGAAGAATTTATTACCGAAATTCTTTTAGAATTCCACGATGGAGTATCTACTTAATCTTGGAGCAGACAAATCGAAGCTTTTGGTAGGCATACCTTTATATGGACAAACTTATCGGTTGTCTAATGAGAGTTTAACAAGTCTTGGTGACCCAGCGACTGGACCTGGAACTGCCGGAGAGTTTACAAAGCAACCTGGAATGCTAGCCTATTACGAAATTTGTGACAGAATCAAGAACAAAGGGTGGAAAACTGGTTTAGGTAATAAGTTAAACGATTAATTTATACCTAAGGAAGGACATTAATTTTTACATAATTTAAATATTTCATTTCAGGGCCAAGTGCTTACCGGAAAGATCAATGGGTAAGTTATGATGATCGGGAGAGCATATTCGCAAAAGGACGATATATTTTACAAAGTGGCTACGGTGGAGCCATACTGTGGACTGTGGACTTAGATGACTTCTTGAATCGTTGTTGTTCCGAGTCATTTCCGTTATTAAAGAGTATAAACCGTGCACTAGGTAGGTAAATCAGTACAAGAGCTGTTCGAATCTTCTGCAAATTTAAATATAAATCTCAAGTATCAAAAAAGTAGAAACATATGTATTACACTATAGGCCGTTTAAAGAGCAAGTCTTCTGAAAAATGTCAACGACCACCAGAACCAGTTACACCACAACCTCCAACATTAACAACTCATAGTGATGCTGTAGAAGACACTCCTAAACCAACTACCCCGATGATTAAACCAACCACGTGGCCATCATGGACTGAGAAACCGACTACAAATACTCAACAAACGAGTACAACGTGGCCAACTTGGACTTGGAAACCAAGCAATAAACCAGACACAACAACTAGGAGTAGTACTATGTCATCTTGGACTCAACCAACTAGCACTGTTTCTGTTACATGGAGTTCAACAAAGTATTAGAATCTTAGTTCTATATCTTTAAATATATTATCTACTGTAATAATCATGTATTTTTTATTATATCTTTTACTATAAAAATAACTATAGAATACCAACGGAAGAATTAACAACAGAAGCCACGGAAGGTGTAGAGAAGCCAACAGAGGTCTCAAAACCAGAAACATCGTGTATGATAGGAGAATATGTGTCAGACCCTGGAAGGTGCAAGAACTACTTTAGATGCGTGTTAGGCGAATGGCAACTCGAACAATGCGCGCCAGGATTGCACTGGGACGCAAGACGAAGTATTTGCGACTGGCCAGCTGCGGCAAAATGTCAAATGGAAAATGGTAAGGTTGTTTAATTTTATTGTCTGCATTCAGTCACCAGAGAGAACCTTCTCAATTAGCGAAAGAAGGAAGTATAGTATATAAATAAGTAGCATATAAGTTAAGTAAATATATAAATAATTAGCATATTTTTTCAACCACTAAATTCTTTATTCTCTATTTGTTAATTATATTTAATAGCAGTTATCCTTTATAAAATTTGTTCTATACTGAAGAACGTCTGATTAACACAATTTGACCTGGTTTCAATATTATATAACAATTATCAAACATATTCTTCTTCAGACATTGTCGTTGACAGATGTATCGGTTCATTGGCAATATGACAAACCTGTTTTACTCCTGCGCACATTTTTCCATTGATTTTGTAACCACTGCCTCCAGGCAAGCATCTTCCCTTCATTATTCGTTCGATTACTATGAGACAGTCTCAACAGGCGCGTTACGCTGTTTGTATCTTTCTGTTTACTTGTTTGAAAGATGACACCCTCCTACATTAGTCCCATATTTTTTATTTTAATCTCAATAGATACTATTACGATACAGACGTATAAGATTTCCCGTCCTCTTAGCATAAGTACGTCGACGAAAATCGAACGAAAAAGTGAATAATTACAAGAATAATTTTGTAATAAATTTTATTATTTTGGTTTTTTATTTTGTTCAAAATAGGTTTTGTAACTCAAAAACCATCATGGGTCACCATAAATACCACCACGACTACCACAAAGCCGCAAACCACATCATTAGTGTGGTCTTCCTCGAAAGCTACCACACAGAAACCAACTTTCACAGAAGATCCTAATGAGAAACCAGAAAAAAATTGTGTACACGGCCAGTATTACTCCTATCCAGATTCCTGCACCAGTTTCTATATTTGCGTGAATGGAAATTTGATTTCTCAACAATGTGGACCAGGATTGAGTTGGAGTAAGGAGAAAAACATGTGCGATTGGGCTTTTAAGAACCCTTGTATCGAGAAGCCGAAGAAGACAGCCTCATTAGTTGCTTCCGATGTCAAATCTACTGTATGTAAATCTATCATTAAAAATAAAACTGCTCTCATAATTGTTTATCTATTACTTTCTTTTTAGCCATGCACACCAGATAGCTACTCCAGCGTTCCAGGAGACTGTGAAAGCTTCCAAGCATGTTTATGGGGTCGCTATGAAGTGTTCCGTTGCGCTCCGGGATTACATTTCAATCAAAGAACTCGAATATGCGACTGGCCATCCAGGGCTAATTGTCAAGATAATTCTGTATCAACAGATAATCATGATTTTGATACATCTAGCGGTAAACCAATGAATGATCCATCAATCACCGAAAAGCCTTGGGATATGAGTACCACTCAGACTACAACAACCTTGTCATCAGCCGTAATAGACCCCGAGAAAACTTCTCCACTATCTGGACATTACAAAGTAAAATTTTTATTAAATTAATGGCATTTCATCTTTTTATTCTATGGCAATTTTTTTTCTTTCACTAGATTGTGTGTTACTTCACGAACTGGGCTTGGTATAGACGAGGAGTCGGACGTTATATTCCTGAAAATATCGATCATACTTTGTGCACTCATATCGTCTACGGATTTGCAGTTTTGGATTATTCAGATTTGATTATTAAGGCTCATGATTCTTGGGCCGATTACGATAATCGTAAGAAGTCACTTATTAAAAGAATATTGATGTTTCTAAATGTGGTATGTCAATATAAATGTAAATATACTTCGAACAGGTTTCTATGACCGTGTAGTTGCGTACAAGAAACGAGGACTGAAGGTGTCTCTCGCTCTCGGAGGCTGGAACGACTCAGCTGGCGACAAATACAGTCGTTTAGTGAATAACCCTACTGCTAGAAAGAAATTCATTGCTCAAGCTATCCAATTCCTAGAAAAATACAATTTCGATGGACTTGACTTGGATTGGGAATATCCCGTTTGCTGGCAAGTATGTATATACCAATATTAATTTCCTATAAATATGAATTTTCGTAAACATTATCAAAATTAATTAATATTATCTTTGTCACAGGTTAATTGTAAAAAAGGTCCGTCATCAGACAAACAAGGTTTTGCAGATTTACTTAAAGAGCTAAGCAGCGAATTGAAGCTCAGAGGATTATTACTCAGTTCCGCAGTTTCACCCAGCAAGCAAGTAATCGACAAGGGCTATGACGTCCCAGCCTTAGCCAAATATTTGGATTGGATTGCAGTAATGACTTACGATTTTCACGGCCAATGGGACAAGAAAACTGGTCACGTAGCACCCCTGTATTATCACACTGATGATACCTACTACTACTTCAACGCAAACTATTCTATCAATTATTGGATCGCCAAGGGTGCTCCCCGTAGAAACATCGTTATGGGTATTTATTTTATTGAAAACGTAAATTAAAATTTACCAGTCATGTAATTGATTTATTCTAATAACAGGTATGCCAATGTATGGACAGTCGTTCTCCATAAACGATCTCAGCAAAGGTACAGGATTAAATGTTCCAGCTAGTGCTGGACAGGCAGGAGAATTTACTCGAGCTGCTGGTTTCTTATCCTATTACGAGATTTGCGACAGGATACGAAACCGTGGATGGAACGTCGTTCAAGATACGAAACATAGAATGGGTCCTTATGCGTATAAGGGCACGCAATGGGTTAGCTTTGATGATGCTGAGATGATTCGACAAAAAGCTCAATATATTAGAGATATGGGTCTTGGTGGTGGAATGATATGGGCTTTAGACCTCGATGACTTTCGAGGACGCTGCGGCGAGGGATCTCATCCCCTGATGCACACTCTTCAGGAAGTACTAGCTAAACCTTCGAATCAAAACGAAGAATGTAAAAACCTTTTAATTTTTACTTCTTTATCTTTATTTTCACTTTTCCTTTGATTAAACCATTTGGCTTTCGTTTACAGCTGAAAAACCGCAAATTACCGAGGAAGATTTAGATCAAGGTCCAATGGTACCGACAATAGCACCCACCACTGTTGAAACCCCTATACCGTCATCAACCACAAAAGATCAAATACCTGAAGATGAGTTTAAAGTGATTTGTTATTTTACAAATTGGGCTTGGTATCGTCAAGAAGGAGGGAAGTTTTTGCCAGAAGATGTGGACACTGATTTATGTACTCACGTTCTATACGCATTCGCGATACTCGACGGTTCGCAGCTAACAATCAAATCTCACGACCCATGGGCTGATATAGATAACAGTAAATTTAAATATGTACTTCATACAATTTCTTTTATTCTATATAACAATGTATTTATATTTTTAGAGTTTTATGAAAAGATAGCTGCTTTAAAGACAAAAGGTCTAAAAGTATTAATGGGTCTTGGAGGATGGAACGATTCAGCAGGTGATAAATACAGTCGCTTGGTGAATTCGCCGTCTGCTCGAAAAAGGTTTATCGAAAATGTGATTCAATTTATCGAAAAATACGAATTCGAAGGTTTGGATTTGGATTGGGAATACCCAGTATGCTGGCAGGTGAACCAAATTAGCACTAATTTATTTATAATTTCAATTCAATTTTTCAATTTATAACATATAACATTACAAAAATGTATCAGGTCAATTGTAAAAAAGGTCCAGCTTCGGATAAAGAAGGCTTTGCCAGCTTAGTAAAGGAGTTGAGTGAACAATTCAAACCAAGAGGTTTGCTGTTATCAGCCGCAGTTTCCCCAAGCAAACGTGTAATTGACACAGGCTATGATGTACCAACCTTGACAAAATACTTAGATTGGATATCGGTGATGACTTACGATTATCATGGTCAATGGGACAAGAAAACTGGTCACGTAGCACCCCTATATCATTTACAAAGTGATTGGGAGCCGACCTTTAATGTGGTACGTGCTTTACGTTAAAACTAGCAATAGTGAATATTTAGAAATATATACCTATTTACTAATATATAGCTAACTCGTGACAGTGATAAATTAAAAAAAAAAAAAAAAACATAATGCAAGACAAAAAGAAAATTTTCATCTATATTTTTCATGAGAAAATTATATAATTTTTTATAAGAAATTTGAAACATTTGGCTACAAATTTTTTTATATATTATAATGATTTTTCAGAACTTCTCGATCCACTATTGGTTAGAGAAGGGTACTCCAGCAAAGAAGCTTATAATGGGTGCACCTCTGTATGGTCAATCTTTCTCTTTGGCAGAAAGAAGTCAAAGAGGATTAAATGCACCAACTTATGGTGGTGGTGAAGCTGGAGAAGCAACAAGAGCCAGAGGTTTCTTATCTTACTATGAAGTAAGTATTCTATTTTTCTATTTTCCCAATTTCTTTTTTTGCTCTTTTATGTAGATATTTATGTAATTTCATTATCATTTTGAATAATCTTAGATTTGCGAAAGAACCATGAAGAAGGGTTGGACCGTCATTCAAGACAAAGAACGTCGTATCGGGCCATATGCGTTCAAAGGCGACCAATGGGTCAGTTTTGACGATGCTAGACAAATTAAATTGAAGGCAGAATTGATAAAAGATCTAAATTTGGGTGGTGGTATGATATGGGCTCTAGATTTAGACGATTTTGAAAACAGATGCGGTTGTGAACCTAGCCCACTTTTAAGAACCATGAATAGAGTTTTAAGAAATTATCCCAATGGTCCATTGTGTCCAGTAACAAACGGTAAATATCCTAAAAATTTAAGATTCATTTATGAATAAATTTAAAAAATTAAAATAAATTGAGTAATATTTTGAATACAGAATTTATAATCACTGATGTTGATGAATCCACCATAACATCTACAACTACTGAACAACCAAGTTGGGAAGGTACATCTTCTAGACCGACATATTTACCACCGACGTCTACAACTATTGATTCAAGCATGGACGTTGATGACACCATTGAAATAGAAGTTGAGTCACCATTAGCAGACACACCAGGAAATTGCGGCAATCGTGTATTTGTTCCCCACAAAAGGGATTGTTCTAAATATTTCTTATGCAACTTTGGAAAACTTACCGAACACTCATGCCCGCCTGGTTTATATTGGAATGAGAACCGTTGCGACTGGCCAGAAAATACCAAATGCAAGGATTCTCAACGGCAGGTAGATATTGAGAACTATCGTAATCTTATAAATCTAAATTATACAATCCAATTTTGTTCTTTTAATTCGTAGTCAAATGAGTTACTGCCTTTAATCTCCAGCCCGGAAACGGATAAGAAAAAAGTGATTTGTTATGTGATGAAGTGGGCAGAAAAACGATCAGGAGTAGGACAGTTCCTACCAGAAGACATCGACCCGAATTTGTGTACCCATGTGGTTTACGGTCTTGCGACGCTGGATCCGCAACGACTAACCATACGAAATCCACAGGATACCAGACAAAAAGAATTCTTTAGTAAAATAGCGAATATTAAGCAGAAAACCGGCTTAAAGGTTTTGCTTGGTTTGGGTGGATGGAAGGAATCCAAAGATAGCAAGTACAGCAAAATGGCCAACAATTCGCTGGAACGACAAAAATTTGCGCGCCACGCATCTTTTTTCATTCAAAATCATGGATACGATGGTCTTGATCTTCTATGGGAATACCCAGTATGCTGGCAAGTATGTAAAATAGCAACATGTATAAAATAGCAGTATTATTTTATTATGTTAAGTTTTACGATGTCACAGTTATTTCTTGTCTTCAATTGTAAAATTCTTCTACTATTTGTAACTATTTTTTCCTTCAAGAATAGAAAAAGAAGTTATTTTAAAGTTATTTTACTCTTGTACATTATAACAATTTTTTATCTTTCTCTATTTAAATATCATAAAAAAAACTAATTTTTGATTTTACAGGTTGATTGTAACCGTGGACCGTCTAGTGACAAGGAAGCTTTTGCAGCTTTACTAAAGGAATTGAGCATAAACTTCAAACCTAAAGGATTGCTCCTTTCTGCTGCGGTTTCTGCTAGTAAAGAAGTTATCGACGTAGCTTATGACATCCCGGCATTGGTCAAATATCTCGATTGGATCGATGTTATGAGCTACGACTATCACGGCACTTGGGATGGCAAAACTGGTCACATAGCTCCACTTTATCACAATCTGGATGAACATACCAAATATTTGAACGTGAATTTCTCGATTACCTATTGGCTTAAACAAGGTATACCGTCGAATAAGCTGATAATGGGCATAGCAACATACGGACAAAGTTACACATTATCGAAAAACTCAGAAATGAAAGGAACACTAGGTTTCAACGTGGAAATTTCTGAAGCTGGACAACCAGGAGACTTTACCAAATCGCCCGGCATGCTTGCTTACTATGAGGTATGAATTGAACGATGGATAGATCCATTTATATGATAAACATTTAAATAATACGTTATTAAATAAATAACATCTATACCAGATTTGCGCAAAATACGACATTAATTAATTAATAAAGAAAACAAATATATTCACAGATATGCAACAACGTAAAAAACAGAGATTGGTCTGCAGTTAAGGATCCAAAGAATTTAGTAGGACCGTACGCCACCAGGGGTGATCAGTGGGTCAGTTACGAAGATGTATCCAGTATAACGCAAAAGGTAAATAATGCAACAATAATAGCTTACAATGATAAAATCTTCTTACTTAAACATTTACGAACTTTTTTATAGACGAAATTCATAAAAGATTTAAATCTTGGCGGTGCTCTGGTCTGGTCTTTGGATCTAGATGACTTCAAAAATCAATGTGGCTGTGGGAAATATCCTTTAGTAACGGCAATTAGTAAAGAACTTAGGGGAGAACAGGACTCCAGGATGGATTGTACTTGAGATATACATACCTTGAAAAATCTGTATGACATAAATTTACAAACATAATATGCTTCAGAAAGAACAGTATGATTTAAAGAACAAAAAAGGAGAACAACATTTATCTTGACGATTCTTCTATCGCGTCACAATTTTCAACGTGACTGTAATAAGATTATTCAAATTGAACACTTTCTGATAAAAAAAAAGATGTAATTCACTGATTCGTGGTATAATAGTATCTTTGTAATAAATTAGCAATTAGAGCATTTATTTTAATTCAACGATTAAATTAAAATTTATTCAAAACAAAAAACATTGCAATTTAAGAAAACGAATTTTGACAATATTCCTACGATTTGTAAAAATATATTATATAAATATATACATATATATATTTTTTTTAACGAATTAATTAAATCATTATTCTTGTAATAGGGCATTAAATATGATAAATTGGGAGATAAATATTGCACAATAATATATATTTTTTTTAACGAATTAATTAAATCATTATTCTTGTAATAGGGCATTAAATATGATAAATTGGGAGATAAATATTGCACAATAGCCCGATTCATTATGGTACCGAGATCGATTACGTAATTTCGCATTTAACGCTTCAGTTCATGAAGGAAAAATAAGAAAGAAAGAAAATTATAAATGAGGAATTGCATATATACGAAGGAGAATTGATATGAAAATTATCGTGAGACTCTTCCGGGTGACGTGTATGGAATTTCTTTTTGTGTACAAAACCAAAGGAAACGTAGAATTGTTAGCATGTCCCTCGGGAAGACAATTTGAATCAAATTAACAAGTGCCTCATATACTATATATTATATAACTTATACAAACAATTTCCATAAAATTTCTATATATTATACGTTCCTAAATACAACGTACCATTACGAAGAAAACGAATTGTATGAACGAGTCATTTATCCAAGAGAAATAATCCTGTCCCAGATAGAATAACTTACGCCACAAAAAGAAATTTATTTTTACGTACTTACTTGCAAATTTGATGCTTCAAATTTATATTTTAGACAGACAAGTAAGTCTTTATCGTAATTCTTGTTTATGCCATACACTGATAACCATTATTAAAATGTACTAATTAACGTAAAATTTTCAAACGGCTGAATTGAAGTAATGGTGTCATTAAGATCGAGTAAAGTATATTTTTTTCTGCGAATTTCACAAAGACTGACTGTTCAAGGATAGAATTAATTATACGAATAAATAAGAAATGCGTGATGTTAAGTTGATAAGAGGGGATAGAAAAAGGTGGGGGTTCAAACTTCGGAAATTACTTACAGTATTTGAACTAGTTCCACGCGAGCAGTGTAACGAAATAGTTGGTAGATGGTATACACTAGGACTTGAATCACTGAAAAAAGCTATTACTAGTAAGTTATTTAAACTGTTTAAATTACATTGTGTATTTTACATACAATCGTGTGAAATTTCATAATAAAATTGAAATATCTTGTTAGCATCATAAAACTAGAAACTAAAAATACATTGTTGATAAAAATCTTGAAATAAAAAGTATCATACATACCGTGAACTTTGTGTAAAAATAGATTACAGAGCATACATTTTATCCGAGTAAGTAGTGTGACGTTATCAAGTTACATTTTATATTTCTTTATTCAAAACAATCTTTAAAGAAAACAAGATGTTTACTTTATAAATTGCGAATCACAAACTATTTCTAACTCAGCTAACAAAAAAATGTTAAATTTAAACACATGGTTGTGGATCATTAAAGAATTGTTCAAACTAAAGAAAATTCGATCTACAAAATCAATCGATAATTAAGCAGCATTATCAATGCCAACGCTATAAAAATTGTTGAAACATATTGAGTATATTTAGATTGGTGAATAGAAAAATGTATATAACATAAAATGTATGTTATATAATTATGAACAGTCTTTTGTTTATTACTTAAATCATTCTTTTAAGTAAATTTTGTCATGTTACATTAAGCATTCTTTTTCTTTACATAGATCGTTATATATACATTGTAATTCAAAAAGAAGAAATATGCTTGACTATAAAGGTATGTAAAACCCAATTAGATTGTTTATCTTAATCATTAAAAACATAAAACATTAACTGATTTAAACTGTCCATTAAAATCATGTATGTAATAATAATACATTACATCATTTTATGAGTCACGTGTTCATTTCCATTCTTTTTTTAGATACCACTATTCGATTGAAATTGGTATTTTACATTAATTAAAATTCAAATTACTGTGTGCAAGTATGATCAACATATTTGTAGTACATAGCAATATATAACGCTTTATATGAAAGATGATATATTTACGTAAAATGTAATTGCAAAAGTATATTTGAAATATTACGTATTATTAAACTGAAATTTTATCAATTATTAAAGATATCAAGAAAGAACACAAAAAGTATTCTAAAAATATAGTTATTTTTATTTTATTTTCCAAATATATTAAATTATCTTATTAAAAGCTGTCAATGTTTTACTAGAATAAAAATTATATAAAGCAAATATATATATGTATTTAAAGTCGCCAACACATTGTGGTCACGTTTCCGTATTTCATTGAATTCGTTGGCATTGAAACTTTTCATTCGTAATAATATATGCACGTGCGTAATTATCATCAACTAACTTTCAATTCAATATTTATACTTGTAACTTCATCTCCTTCGTATAATGCAGTTAGATAAATGTTACCGTCGAATGGTAATTTTTTTTTTCCAGAAAGATAATATCTCTTCATTCGTTAGTTATCAATATCATATAAAACTAAAAATAATAAAAGTGAATTATGCTTTCAAATTTCGTTACACTTAGATGTTCTTTCTATAATTTATCATGAATAAAAACCATTTCTTAGAAGAATAGTCGATTCCCAAACAATTCAAAGTTTTGTAATCCGTAATACTATTAGCAAAAATCGATAAAATGAATCGAATAATAATTAAAAATTAAATTTGGTTTTATAGTTTTATTTGATTTTTATTTATCGATTGATTCTTATGGAAATATTAAAACAACATCGATTATTTTTAACATGTAGATCATTTTTGCAATAGCTATTTTAATTTTCAGATCAATGATTAAATTCATATTCAATTACGCATTTACCAACTACCTACGTAATACTTTCCAAGGAAATACTGATTCAATTAAGCCACCTCTGGACGTATATGTGTATTTACACATATTTCGAACGTATATATTTTTGATCATTCACCTTGCCAAAACAAAGATGCATACATTCTCGAAAACATAAATGTCTTTAACTGTAATTAAATAAGGAGAATACAACAAAAATGTTATCAATCTATATTTCGTGCAATATATTGTAAAATCAAAATCAATGTTTTTTGTGAGTAGTAGCAACTCGTTTCTAGTGTTATTTACCATTCTGACATCGTATAAATGACACGTGCTTACAGAGCATGGCGTTAGGTAATAATTTTCGAAACCTTTTGAAAACTGTTTTATTTTACCTATACAAAATATTATTCTTTTTCAATCTTTTCTTATGTATGTTCTTTATAAATCAATGTTGTGCGTTCATAGTAAAAATATAATTTTTTTAAAAGTACGTCTGAAATATGCAGGAATAATTATTCATCATAATTGCAGATAGTCATGCTGCCGTTCTCACAGACGTTGAACATTCACGTCAATCTAATTCGGAAAATAACGAGGATAGATCAGTAAGTGCAATTTATTAAATAAAATTCGAATTAAAAGTATGCATCTTTAGATAAATTCATGTTCATTGTGAACGTGGATGAATTTCATTTTTCAATTTCAACATCATAATTACTTTAATTTATATACAAATAGAATTCTATATTGATAGCATACCTTATTTTTCTGTACAAAACTATACATTTTTTCATTTCATAAGCAATTTCCTAGGCAATTTAAAAATTCACTTCATTACATAATGTAATTTATAAGGTCTTAAACTTTATATTTATGAAAAGATTATAAAGTTGCTATAAAGGAATTTTTATACATATTGAACATTTCATTATACTCTATTAAAATACTTTATGTAATATGTTATTCTCATACATGACTCCTTAGTTCTATTTAAATAAGAATGATATGATCGCATGTGAAAATTAAAGAAAAAATGTATTAGCATTTATATATTAGTATAAATTTATATATTACATTACTTATCATTACTTTGTTAATCATAATTTAGAAAAAGAGTTCTATCTTTAATTGACTCAATATCATTTAAACTTGTTTTTTTCTGTTGTGTCATTTAATGTGAATAAATTTGATAAGTATTCCAGTGGTGTTCATGTGCATTTGTATTATAATTTATTATTATAATTTTATAGTAATTATTATGTAAAAACTAATAAGAGAAAAAAGATTATAAGAATATAATGAATAAATTTTACTATATATTCTATATATTCATATCATGTATAACAGCATTATTACATTAAATTTTTAATAGTTTAGACAGTATAGATCTTAATGATCTTTAAATCCATATTTTATTTTTAGTTATATTTTCCAGAGATTTTTATGAGTGATAATTTGTATATACACATTTGTATGTATAATAAATTAAGAATGAACTTCCACTTTGTATGAAATGTTAGTAATGCATGTTTGGTTATATAAATAGTTTCCAGGTTTGCCAGTGATGTGTGGTTTTATTGAGTTTTATTCCATCATTACATCCAGGCTTTTCCATTATATCAATGATTGGTCTCCCAGGGTGCAACACATTATTGCTTATGATGCTTAGTTGTTCAGTGGTATGGTTTTCTGGTTTTACACACACACACATACATAAACACAAGCATACATATTCTTTTTTCTTCTTTTCTTTTTGTAAGAGAGGTATAGGTGAAAAGTGTATCAAGAAAATTAAAAAACTTATCAGAGTATTTTATATTGCTCATAACATTGATTATGTAAGTGTTATATGATTTATTATACATTCACATATCCTATGGTAAATGATAAAGCACTTTAATATATATTGCTACCGTTTTACATATTTTTATGTATTTCACAAATATATTTTTGACTGTATATGCATTATACATGTTATGTAACAATTTTTTGTAACATTGTTTAAATTTCATTATTTCATTCCATTCTATTTTGTGAACTGCAGTAATTTTATATAGTATAATTACATATAGCAGCAATTGCAGATTAAATTATCACCAGTCCATCTCTTACCACTTTTTTAAATATAATTTCAAGAAGATCATAGTGTTGTACATCTTGTTTTACTTTCTATTTTAATAAACTGAACACAAAGGAATTGCTTTATTATTATTCAGTGATATTTTACATTAAAAAATAAGGTTTATGTTACAAATTAGATATCTACAAGTATGTAATATTTTTTATTTTGTAGCTGCATTCTGAAAACAAACAGAAGATTGATTATAAAACTTCTTACAGACAGCTGGTGGATGGACTACTACATTAGCTTTAGCAGGTATTACCTGTTGCTTAGGATCAGCTGTACCAGCAGGATTTAACATAGGTGTACTAAATAATGCAGATCATGTTAGTACTTTCACTTATCTCTTATAGAAACTTATAAATAATACTTTTACTATTTTTGTGTTAATTTCAGCTAGTAAGAAGGTTTTGTAATGAAAGTATTAGAGAAAGATATAACATAAATGCTTCTGAAAATAATCTGAAAATAGTTTGGTCTACTATTGTCTCAATTTTTCTTATTGGTGGGGCAGCTGGTTCATTTCTATCTAGCTGGGTTGCAGATAAATATGGAAGAAAAGGAGCATTATGTGTTGGAAACATATTTGGTATTGCAGGGGCTGTAATGTTTTTTCTAGTGCGCAAATTAAATTCAATTGAACTTCTTTTAACAGGTCGATTATTTGTTGGTAAGTCTTAGGATGTTAACTTTAAAACTATAAAATAATTCATACCAAATTTGTTATACTGAAAATTATATATTTTTTTAGGCATTTCTGGAGGTTTTGCGACGTCTGTAGTACCAATGTACATGGCAGAAATTGCACCACTTAGGCTAAGTGGTGCAGTTGGAGTTTTATGCCAGTTAGGAATCACATGTGGAGTATTTTTAGGTCAAATTGCAGGACTTAATACAGTCCTTGGGACTGAAAATTCATGGCATTATATGCTAGGAACATTTATTCCTTTATGTATATATGCTTTAGTTCTTACAAGTATAGTTCTACCAGAAAGTCCTAAATATTTATATATAATCAAAGAACGAAAACAGAAAGCTTTAGATGGTTAGTAAATATTGTAATAACTGATATATTTACAACAATTTAAAACTATCTGAAACTATTCTATTATTTCAGAACTTGGTAGGATACGTAACATGGATATAATGCTGTTACAAGTGGAAATTTTTAATCTACAGCAAGAAATAGAAACAAAAACAACAGCTGAGCCATGGACTATTAAACGCATTTTGAAAGATCCAAGTCTGAAGCTTCCTATATTTTTAGTTTGTATGATACAGTTTGGACAACAAATGAGCGGTATAAACGTTGTATTTTACTATTCTAACTCCATCTTCCGCGATGCTGGTCTTGGTATCACTGGAGCACAGTATGCTACTCTTGGAACTGGTGTAGCCAACATTGCCATGGCTCTTGTTTCGGTACCAGTCATGTCATGTTTAAATAGGAGAGGTGTTCTACTCAGCAGTATTTATTTGTGTCTTGGATGTTTAATGGTTTTATGTACTTCCATTTCATTAATTGTAAGTAAAATTATTTTACGTAAAATAACATATACAAAAAGTTAAAAATTTAGTTTGTAAAATAACTTGTATCCTTACAGCATGTATCATCATATATGCCATTAGTATGTATAATAGCTGTTCTGTCTTATGTAATATTTTATGGAATTGGTCTTGGTCCAATACCATATTTTATTGGGTCTGAATTATTTGATGTTGGTCCTAGACCAGTGGCTATGGCGCTTGGTAGTGTCTTTAATTGGGGTGGAAATTTTATAGTGGGTATGATGTTTCCAACTGTAGAAAGTATTATGGGAGCATTCACCTTTTTAATATTCACCATAGCTCTTTTATTATTAGGACAAATTATTAGGTATGTAACAAAAAATTAACGGTATGATTAACGATATAATCATATACAATATGTTGTTTAACAATACAATATTAATCTGTTTAGGATATACTTACCTGAGACTAGGGGAAAGAATACAATGGATGTGGCTATATCGATAAGTCATGGTTTCAATTCTAGACCAAATTCCATACGTACCACTTAAATTTAAAAATCTCTTGATTTATCATTTATTTAAGTATATAGATAATTATAATTTTTTCGTTATAAATTTTGTGTAAATATTTGCTTAGGAAATATTTTTGGGTTCGTATGAGGATTGATTATAAAAGATTATAATTTTGTTAGCAAAAATTGCGATCAAAATTTATATAGTATCTTACTTAATTGATAATGTCAGAGCATTTTTATAAAGTATCTGGATAAATGAACCATTTTTAAATATATTTTTAAATGTGTAACTGTTACTACAGTATAAAAATACATCACTGCCCATGTAAGAAATTAATTTATTCTTTTATATTGTATCATATTTTACATAATAGTTCAAAAATTATGAAATTCTTCTTACATATTTAAAAAGTTTCATTAAATGTTAATTTCAAAGTATACTATAAAAGTGATCTAATTTTTCATAAAAGACTAAACACAGCACAGTATGCGGTGCTATTCTCATCCATGTCGGAAAAATTCCTTTGTACAAACCAGTCAATCCTTCTGTCCTTAATATTTTTATAAGCGCGTCAAAAAGTCCATTATACAGTGTGCCTTTCCCGCCTGTGTCTGTTCCTATATTTTATTATAAAATTATTAATATTATTAATTCATCAGCAGAAATTTATTAAATTACACCTACGTTGATTGTACAATCTTGTTGCTAAAACATCGAACGGTTGCATAGTAAATGCCACACAACTTCCGCCGATCACGGAAGCCAAAAATGTTAGCAATATTGGCTGATCTGTAAACAGCTTCAAAAATATCAGACATATTTTAATTTATGTTCATTCTATGATGTTTATTTCTATATTCACTTGTAATGAGCGTAACCAATCCGCGGCTAAACCAAACGTAGTTAATTGTGTTGCGGATCCTACGAAAAGGCGTGGTATATTGGCATACCAGCCGCGGTACAAAGCGACTATTCCACCTTCTTTCCACAAAGATTTAAATGCATACCAAGTGCCCAAATAATTATGCTGATAACCAACGGCTATAGACTGCGCTGATTGTGCTTGTAATTGCGTTTTTACCTATTACAACGAAAAAGATTGTTATATTAAATTGCTCATTTTTAATTAATATGGTAAATGATAACTGTATGTCATATCAATTTTTATATAAACTACTGGCATTATTGATACTTAAAAATTTTATTCTATGCAAAATAATTTAGAAAATAGTAAATAAGCTTTACCATATAAAATGGACTGCCAAGGACAGCACCTATACATCCAGATGTTCCAGTCAATACTGCAGTTTTTAGGACATCGGTATTTCCTTTATTATTAGTAATTAGTTCATAATTTTTTGCTGTATTATAAATACCTAACCGTATTCCATTGAGCACCACTTGAAAATACAAAGCAGGTATAATACCAGCTTGTAAAGCACGTATACCCTCATGTTTTGCAATTAAGTAACCCGCATGTAGAGTGTTTTTATATATCTTTTTATATGTATGTCGTGCTTCTAGCTCTCCTTGTAATTGCAAACGAACTTTTATTACATCAATTGGATTTGTAAAACATCCAGCTCCAACAGCTGCTAGTGCCCCAATTACAAACTCAATACCTGGACTAATAAAACTTAAGAATTAACAAGTGTACCACAAATATTTTTTTGTTAATATAATTTGTTAAAGAATTTATGTTATAATTTGATATGAAAATGTATATGAAAACATCTGAAATACATACAAAAAAAAAAGTATAGGTATGTTATTTCAATAACATATACATACAATAAATCAAAACCCTTGTTAAATACTAAATTTTATTAATTATCTCAATCATTAATTATATTAATATTAGTAAATTATTAATGAATAAAAGGCTTGTTACTTTTTAATTCAAATAGTAGCAAAATTAATTAAAGTCAGGTAATTTTTAACTCAGATTTTTGCAATAGTATAAATATAACTAATACTAATATTAGAAAAGATTTCTGTTATAAAATTAGAAATCATGTTCTAAAGTCTAATAAAATAATAACGATTAGCACTAAAAATTTCTTATCATTGTTAAACTTATATTATATTTGTTGAACTAGACAAACAATAAGTCACTAAATAAAAAATATTGACTGAATCAATTAAGTATTTAAGTTATCACTGACCAATTAAATACACTTATAATTAGAGTATAAAATAATCATAATTAAATATTATAAATCCTAAATCATTAAAAAACATAGAGTTGAAGAAACTACTATAATAGACACTAAAATTTAGTTCCAAATGAATATTAAATACACAAATGATAATTGACTGACCGGTTTTAGCATAAATATTATTGCATAATCACCACATTATGTCTGTATCTATACGAATGTTATCAAAGTCAAAAGAGAGTGAAACTATGACCTGTTAGAAATGTGTAGTCTAGCATTTATTAAAAGCTCACGGTTTCTTGGTGCTTGCGCTCGACGCTGCAGTCATTTTCCAAATACAAAAATAAAACGTTTATATGCGCGCGATTACTAAGTGTCGATTTAAATCGAATCACTGAATTATTCGAAGTAACAATAGCGTAGCTGTTTTTAACATCACTAAACTTACTATGTTTCAAAACTGTAGGAATCATTCACTATAATCACATGAGTTAACTACTTTCAAAGAGTAGGTTCCAAGGTCAAGATTTAGAAAATAAAATTTTTTATTAATAGTTAAAAAATTTGATTGATATCAATATGTAGTAATGTGCATCAGTATTGAATAAAAATTACCTTTAAATAATCAAATAATATTTAATATTCTTTTTAAGAATTTAATAACTCTATATTTAGAAACTTTTGCGCATGTGCCGTTATAAACAGTATCGTATTTACTATTTTCTAAAACCTCTCCAAAAATTATATCACGTTCATTTAATAAGATTTAAATTTCTAGTTCATAAAATTTACTGGCTCTATTTAACGTATTAAAATGTTTTTAGAAATATAGTTTACAAGTTGTATTAAATAAACTAATATAACATACAATTTGATTTTTAATATGTATTAAATGTTTCTATCTTGAAATTTACAGATCGCAGAATAGTATTAAATTTGTTCTTTCTTTTTTGCATTACTTAAGCAAATAACATTAAATTAAATATACAATTAATTTTTTGTTTAATTAATCCTATAATTATTTTAGGAAGTTTGTAAATACATGTTTTCTTATATTTAAAATATTTTTTATTTGTAGAGAATTAGAAAAGGTTATTTGTCATATTAAATTATTGTGTCAGTGTAACTGTTTAAATCCTCATACAAAGTTGACACAGATTCACATTACAAAAACTTCGTTATGTAGCTAAATGTAAATTCTACAATTTAAATGGAAATTTCATATGCAATATATAATACTTTTTTTATTTTATTATATAATCATCTTATACTAAAACTATTATTAGGTATACTACTGTACAATCATTAAAAAAAAATGTATTCCTTTTAGTACCTTTTCTATTATACAATACTCTCGCAACATTTTTTTGAATTTGAGTTTATGCTACAGATAAACTTCCACCAGCCTTAGAAATCTTAGCAATTTCATCCTTGAACTTAGCAATTGTTTCTTTTGCTAATGTTAATTTTTCCTTAAGATCTATGACTTCCACTCTTATCTTGTTTCTTGCTTCTATTACTGCTTTCATTGTAGATTCCTTTTTAGCTTCAACTACACGATAAAATGAAAATAATTTTGATATGTAAAAAAATATTAACTCAAGCAATGATTACATACAATCTGTATTATGACGCCAAGCACCAAGAGTTATAGGTCTACTAGAGTTCAATAAATGTTGCATTAAAGCTGTTGGATCTTGAAAAACTATTTCCTCATAAAACTCAGACACTAAACTCTTCTTTCCTAATTGTATTTCAGGTGTTGTTTGGAACAGTTTTAATATATGATATATAGTTACCTATCTCAAATATAAATAATTTTAATAAGATTGCATAATTTACATACTTGATACTATAAGATATATACTCACAGGACGTTCATTAGGATCATGAAAATATATTTTGATGACAATCTCAAATTCTCCCCAACCAGTTTCAGTGAGTTCATAAGGAGGTTTAGTCATAATACGATTTGGATTGTTATAACTTTCATGTAATTTAAAATGAACTTTTTTAACATATGTAGACATGTCTTCATTATGGTACGGTTTAACATAAACTGTCCATTGATGAGTATGTCCATCTTCCTCCCTCTTTTTACCAAAATAACGGGCTACATTACCATATATTATTGGTTTTACTATTGTAATTCCCTAAAAATATATCGAATAAAATTTTAATAATTATCTTTGACCCTTTTCTTAATTTTATGTTGATATAAAGATTCAATAATTGCTATTTTTATTATTTCACACATTTTTTAATTTCTGTTTATATAGACATAGGTTAGAAATGTAAAACACGACCATTTTTTCATACGCTATTTTTGAATAAAATTTACCTTAACTCTGCCACCAGAGTCAGGGCCAAATTCATTAGTTGAAGCCATCATCGTAATTACTTCTTTTTTTCATCGCATATAGCTCAAAAATACAAATTAACAAATGAGAAATATCAACATAAACGACATTACCGTTTATAACTTGAGCGCTACCGACTCTATATTAGCGCTATCTAGTGCTAACCAGAAGAAAGTAGTTTCTTTTGTACTTTTTATGATATAATAAAAATATAACAAAGTAATTAAATATCCAAAATTAATATTTGTATCAGATACAAAGAAAAATGGAGTTAAAAAATAGAGTATATTGTTTTCAAGTAAATATATTTTTTCATCATGAAGGGCATTAAAAAAAATATGTACACTTCTCTTAAAATAAATTATACTCCAAAAAGTTCTCAATCTTTCACACAGCATAATCATTCTGACAAAAATATTTTGAAATTTATTCCCTCATACCAGTAATTAGACTATAATGCAAGGCGATAAACTTTTAAAATATACATAACACAATTCTTGTTCTGCACAATAGTCTCTGTAATACATTAAGGATTTAATTATTCTCTGCACTATACATAACATGATAAGTTGATAATCGTCAGAATATAGAATTAATAAAACCTTTCTACAAAATACATAAAATGTTATATAATTGTGGAGACTGATTTTTTGTATCAACAATTAAATTATAAAAAACATCAAATATTTAGCAAATTAACAGATTAAATATTATAAAAGCGAATTAAATAATTTTATTTATCCACTTCCACTATTTCGAATATAGTCCTCAGGATATAGATTCAAGACTTTGGATACCACAAAATACTGAATTGAAACTGATTTATGTAAATGGTTACATATGGGTTTATGTTTCACAGAATTCTACCGTGATTTTAATTACACAAAACATATGTCTTTTTAAACACGTATTCAAAAATACAAAAGTCAAAATTTGGCGTACTATAACGATATATTAGAATACAGCACATACTGTTAGAAAATCAAACAAAAAGGGATCCTTTGATCATATAATTTGTGTAGAAACAACGTCGGATACTGTTAGATATATTTTGTCTAAATTTTTTAAAGTAGGATGTTAAATGGATGCGCGTTGCATCGGACGTGCAAAGGCAGCCAGCTGCCAAAAGAATGCGTGTCTTCAGCACCTCATAATGACGATTAGAATTAGCTTTATTAAGCTACAATGTCGTTGTTATCACGTGCGAGGCAATTTTCCTTTTCTTCGGAATCGTTCCTCTAGATACCCCGAGATCTGAAAAGAGTTTTACAAGGACCGTTACATCATTTGCATAATGGTCCATAATCATATAAGCATAAGCTACTACATTCTACTATATTTGGTTACAATCTAGGTAAATAGAAATGAACAAAGTAATTCACACACAGATTATTAAGCAGATTTTAATAAGTCTTATATGGTTGCGTCGTACTGCTAAAACATGTATCACATACATATATTCAGAATACAACACAAATATAAAAAATTTTGCTCTGTTTTCACAACACTTATTTACTATTACTATGATGATTAACGTTCATTCGAGTAAATATCTACTACAAAGTGTATGATTTATTAAACAAATTGTCGTTAAAACTTGTGTATGCTTTACGATGATAATATTTGTAATTACATATGTATACAATATTTTGATAATAAGTTTAATATCAAAAACATTACGACTTAATATCTCTCATTTTATACATTTATACAAAATTATTATGTCATTACAATAAAGTAATAAATACATGCATAGTACGACGTCTCAAAATTTGTATTATCTATTCTATTTGAATGAAGAAATGCATGCGGCGCTGTTTTTAATTTATAAAGCTTGAAATTGGATGATTTTTAGGGTGCATTAAATCAAGATTAAATACGAGAAAGTAGTCCCAATCCACTAATGGTCAGGCATTCTGGGAACATTAAAACATAAGAAACTTAAGGAATCAAGATATTTTATTAAGAGCAAACTAAGAGCTTCTTAATTTTTTTTCTTATCTCTTATGTTTCTACTCGGCAAAAGGATGTACTTACAAGGAGGAAAATAATTACTACTACACAATTCTGAACATTTCTACCTTTGGTTTTGGTCGATGTGTGTCCACTGCATCAATCGGTAATCGAATATGTTCCACTTTACAACCATAGGCAACAGGTGTTAATTTAATAATAGTATGTAGTGGCACTTGTAGGTATGGTAACTCATCTAGAACAAAATAAATATGATCAAAAATACAAATTTGTAAATGAAAACGAAAATTACATTTCGAGTTACAAAGTAATTTTATTTCCTACTTGTATATAATAAATATAATGAGTATAAAAATATTATAAATATAAAAATAAATTTACGTATTAAGCAATTACGTATATCAAATTATTTAAGTTATGCGCAATTGATGGCAATAAAATCATGTAAACAAGAATGGATTATCTTGAACATCCGTTGCATACATAATTACACCATTCTTGATGTTTTGCTCTTTGAATACAGTTCATTTAGATATATCAAAGGTTAAAAGTTACGCAATTTCGATACACTTCAACCAAGTCTATGCATATATTTATTTAGTGTGAATATACTTTCTGTATTTGCAACAAAAATACATCTTATTTATCCATAATACGATTAAACGATCACTCTCAAAAAAATATTTTTTTAAATTATTTATATATCAATATTAAATAATTAAATGTTTGCGAACAGAAATATTTACCCGCGTTTTTGTCCAAGAAGTAAGCAAGTAAACATCGCAAAACCGCTTGATGGCTAACAACTAGAACATTACCCTGTCGTTCTAGTTCCATTATTACTGGCTCCAACCGCGCAACTAAATCTTCGTAACTTTCTCCTCTTGGATAACGATATGAAAATTTATTTTGATCCCTTGCAGCAAAGTCTGTTGGATACTTCTCTGCAATTTCTTCATAAGTCATTTCTTCACAAATACCCTGTGTTATAAGTTTGTTTTTATTATCATCAGTAATATATAGTACTATATGAGAATATTTTTTATTCATCATAAAATATTATGCAATATATAAATTCTATGTTACATATTTATTGGACACAACATAAAAACCTTATCATTAAACAATTCTCAATGTAATTTCTATTTATAGAATACAAAGAAGATTAATTTTTATTAGTTTAACATTTATCAAACATTTGTGGAGAATTTATTTTTAAATGGTGAGATATGAAGAACCATTGAAAAACAAGTTTAAAGTTACCAAACCAAATTTTTAAAATAGCTTCATAAACAAATTTTGCCATTCTATTCAAATTCAAATGATAAATTTTAACTGAAAATCAAAATAGATGATTATTACTTCTTCATAACTTACCGCATCAATCTCGTTTAGCGCTTTCCATCTTTCTTGAGGCGCATTCACATCGTTCGCTGTTTGAATGGTCCTCTTCAGCCAACTAGTCCACACTCGCAATCCCTATAATCATGTCAAATTTTGTTTATTATTCTTGTCAAATATGAGATTTTTCTTTCTTCCATACATATATTTATACCTGAATATCCTGACTAGTAATATAACTAGCCAATGCTTTAGCATATTCCCAACCTCTCTCACTCAACTCCGAGTCTCCACCTATCTTAGCCTCGAGATTCATCACACTCTCACCATGCCTAGTTAAATAGATCGTACGTGGCACTATATGAATGTTCATAAGGTAATAGACTATCCTACTTTGTATATGACCCTCATGTTTATGAACAAGCACTTTCTCGCCAGTATTGTAAATTTTCATAAAGGAAAGATCGCTTTCCTGATTCTCATCCAGTGGCTGATATTTTTCTTGATAATGTTCAATTCGTAGCATGAAGTCAGCTAATACTTCCTCTTTATTCATATTTGCATAATCAGGACTACTCACTTTCACCTAAATAAGTAAACATTTCTTGATTAGTATATTAATAAATTTATTACAAAGCAGTTTCCTTACTTCCATAATATTTTGTTCAACAATCTCTGGGTCGTTGCAAACGGATTCAACGAAGAAGAGATTGAAGCCCATTTTCTCGACTACGATGTCCCTGATCAACTGGCGTCTCTCAATAGTTGAATTGGTGGCATCAAATACAGCTACCTCACCATCTCCACATTCCAACCACTGACAAACGTCCTTGAGGGCGTCCATCGCACACTGAGTACGTATTGCCATTGCTTTAATATTATCCGGACGGAAAAACTCGTGGCATTGATAAGCAGTCGTTGCATGCCGCCTGTACTCCCCCAAATTGAATACCTTTGTACTTATACCGATCCAGTTAAGGTATCGGCAAAGTTTTTTCGAAATATAAGTCTTACCACGGGCCGGTAAACCTACCATAGCGATCACATGTGGCTTGTTTACAAAATTGGCTCGTTCACCTGAAAATATTCAAGTACGTTAATAATGAAAAATTATTTCAGAATTATTTTTTGTCGGTGCAGGGAAAATATTTATAAAACATAATTTCATTTGATTGAGATTTCAGTATTAACTATTATATTAATTATCATGTCGATGATCTAGGTGCGGAAATTAACATTTTCAAGTATGATTATCAATGTGCGATATTGTCCAATTAATATCTAGCGCATGACAACAGGTTTTTACTAATATCGGTCTAGTATCTCATCCGGCGCGTGCACAAGGCGTGCTTTTTATTTATCTTCACAATATATATATATACTTAGATATATTTTTTATTTGTCTTTATGTTTTTCTGGTACACCAAAAGTGTCCTTCGAACATGAGAAAATTATCACTATTTTTTCACAACAATTATTATTCAGTTAGAAGTTTCATCAAAATATCTAGTAAATATAGTTGTATAAAGTTTAGGATCGAAATTGATGTATGTACATAATTTGCGATTTACTTTCAACATACCTTAAATTTATACGAAATCAAAATGAATTACTTATCCAAAGAAATTTATGCAATTCCTGGTCAGTGCTATTAATGACCACTTGTCTATTTTCATCGATTTAAAACACGGAAATAATTGAATCCAGATTGTGACCAAAACAATAAAAATTAAGCTGTCAATTCGAATTATTTAATGATCTTCAGCGAATAAACGACAAATCTTATCATGATGGCATAATTCGCGGTTGGTCTCGATAGAGATTTCCAAACGTAAACATTTCATTATCTGCCGCTCTTTGCGAAATAACCTCTCTGTTAGATAAACAAGTAAATATGTATTACCACTTTTCATCTTTCGTCCAATCTTTTTAGATTAACTTTATCGCTCGGCTATTTTTAATAATCCAAAGACCAAGGTACAATTGTGGAGAAAACGTGCAACCAAAACATCATTTAATGTGATTTTTTATTTGCAAATTTTTATTAAATAAAGAAACAAAATAGACAATTATCCGTTTAATTAGAAATTCATTCATTTTCAGAAGTTCAAACTTCTAAAACACTATTATTAGTAATAAATATTTAAAATATATTTTTTATATTAAGATTGTTATAAATATTTAGCAATATGTTTGGAAAACCTTAGACAATAGTAAATTTATTTCTATAACAAAGTATTGAAATTTTTAATTTTGTTTAATTCCCCAAAATTGCATCTATAGATTAGCAAACAATAACAAGTAATATAACAATCAATTGTAAGTGTTAATCCATTACAATCAAGGTAAATATTAAAACTATTACTATGATACCAAATACAGTTTCATACTGGTTTTAATTGGTTTCATGTTATAAATTTTAGTTTATACAATTCTCTATCATAGTATAATAGAGCTAAAAAGAAGTCCTGTGACTCAGCACAAAGAAGAGGTGTTTCCAAAATTCTTATATTTACATTCTTGAAAGCATAATAGTTGAATAAATAATGCTATCATAACTATCTGATGTTAATAATTGACATTTGAATATATTGTAACCTGATCATTTTATAAGCCATACAAAGCTATATAATCCGATTTATAAATGTGATATTTTCAACCAATAACAAAAATTCACGTGTGTTATTCTTATAATTGTGTGAAAAAAGGTGGACTTATTGCAATTTTTATAATCAATCAAACCCGTATTCCGTCTAGAAGTCTTCTTTCCAGCTTTATAGGATATCTAAATAATCGTGTCATTTATGCGAATGCGTTGCATGCGGTCTAACAGTGCATCTTTTCAGGTTATGTTCTAAGAAGTTAATCAGGGAATACAATAATCAATGTGAACAATGTCTTTTATTTTCATATGAAGTTAAACTTTCTCAAAGATTTTGATGGAAAACGCATTCACAAATTACAAATCCTTTAACAAAAACATATTAGATTTATTTTGTAGTTTATTGTGATTTGCTTTTTAACTATTTCCTCAAAAAAGTTCAGTATATTTTATAACATTTCTTTAGTAATAGAGAAAATTAAAGAATAAGAATGCAAAATATTAAAATTGAAAAAATTTCAAAACCTATACGGGAATTATATCTTCTTCAAAATATCTTACCACGAATAGGGAAAGGTTTTGTTTGAATGGTGTCCGAGCTTGGTGGTGTATAATGCATCTCAATTTTCGGATCAGTCATCTTTTGACACCATGTAAATTCTTCCTTCTCAATTAGAACTGTGGACCCTGTACGCTTGCTTCACTGTTCGGCGTTTATTAAGAAAAAGAACACTAGAATCTCAGTTTCACCAGCTAATGCACACTATGTATGTGTTACTTATTAAACGCATAAAGAAATTTGTTGCGTTAATCTCACTGTCACTGCAGCTCCATCCTACAACTTACATTTACAGAATGTCATTGTATATTAAATTCAGCATTATTGTAGAACCGCCTAATGAGTCAGATCCGAGAAAAATACCGCAAAAGTTGCAAGCAATTTCTCTGAGATAGGATAAAGATAGAAGAGTGAGTGAGAAAAGTAACGCACACCTACCGTCTGTCGGGAAAGTCCGAATTTTAATACGCGCCGCGCAACGCACATCCCTTGAATCTTACAGCGATTATTATTACGTACGGATGTGGTGCGGGGAAATCTTTTCACCAGTAACTCTCATTATATGGCTCCGTTTTCTTTTATAAAACAAGTATTAAACGATACTTGATTTTCTTAAAGAATATGAGATTTTTATTTTGTAAGTAAGCCATATTTTTTGAAGAAAAAAAAAGAATCGATGTTGAAAAAAGGTATCTATTTCGTTGAAACAAAAATCTATCATCATCAATTCGAATTAGTTTTTTGATAAACACCACTGTTATATGAGATACCTCTGACCAGTCCGTAACCTCGAGAACGATCACGCGACTTCTCTTGACGTCACTTATTCTTTCCTAACCAATTCTTTCTGGTTTGTTGCAGAGAAGCATAAAATAATTTAAATGAAAATATTTTATATTTTATTGCATTTACTACTATTAATTTTTATTCATCATATAAATATATGTATGGTATTTTAGAAAAATGAAAATTTCGAGAAAATGCTCGCTTATTTTATTACTTATTTCAGTAACCAATAGGAAACATTCGCAGTTAAAAAAGTAACAAATAAGAATACTTGATTCTAAAAAAGTTACTAGTTACGTACTTAACGTACATTTTACAAATATGTAAAGAAGTTTTATAAAAGAAAAAAAATTATTTTCTTAAAGAATTAGATTATTATACTAGGTGCAATAGTATCCAGATCAAATTTCATGATTAAACTTTTTTACCTCAAATAAAATATTTCATTTGTAAAATAATTAAGTACAAATCATTATATTGATCAGTAATATTTACAAATATTACCAGCTTTAGTCAAGAATAAAATAAAATATACATTGATGATCTGGTTTTAAACTTAAATTATAAAATTTTTATTTGATACCACAAAGAAAATTGAATTATATTACACGCCGATATTGCAGTATAGGAAAGTGCCGGTAGAGTGCATGGGTACCTCTATGGTTAATTATCAGTACTATCAGTTGCGATTCAGTAAAGTAAAGCGCGACAACTGTGCTGTTAAAAAAGAAGCAAGAAAAATTGTTTGATACGCGTAATTTGAAAAAGTATTTATACAATCCAAATTAGTCATCAATTAAGGTAGGAGATAAGGTCTATGATGTACAGTAAAATGTAACAAATAATAATTCAGGAATCTAGAATCAAAATGAGCATACCTAAAATTGGGCGTGTGGCACCGCCTTTTTCACTATTCGTCATATTGATATATTTATGCGATTTCTCATTGTTATATACTTTTTCTACAATTAAATATAATAATAAAAATAATATTTTACTTTTCATTAGAAAGACTTATCTAGTTTATTGTAATATTTTCTGTGCGTATATCCGAGGACACAATGTATAAACATAACGGGGAAATTAAATACCACTGTGTATATCAAAACAGTTTTTAGTTTAATTAGACTTGCATTTCTGTAGCTATAAAAAATCATAATTAGATTTTCTAATTTATATGTAACAACGATTTATTCATACCATTTTTCTAATTCGTTTGTCCCAAGAATCGAATATGTACATTTTTGTAATAGAAATAATTGGTGTTCTGCTTTTGATGTTTGATATATTCTTTGGGAAAAAATATCAATCTTTTTACAAGTATATATGTACATACATAAGTATTTATCATAGTAAAAGTGATTTGATTTACTTTGATGTTATAAATATGATACTAAATCAATAAATATAATTAATTTGTGCTATATAAACAAGTATGACATAAACAGAATATAGACAAATGTACACTCCTGACCCTGTTTTTAGATTTCTCATACTGACAACAATAGTTTCACATCCTGCCTTTGTTTGATGTAATTCTTTTTCATGATGTTTATTTGTGGAAGATCTTTATATTTTAATGAATATATAGCAACATTTATATAGAATAGATGATTTTATATATTATAATATCAAAATTTATATAATTTCAGAGAAATAAAGTAAAATGTCTAAAAAACCAGGTACTACTCAAGCAATGCATAAGGTTATAATGGTTGGAAGTGGAGGTGTAGGAAAATCTGCACTCACATTACAATTTATGTATGATGAGGTACATTGATTTTATAAAAAGCATAAAAAGCAAAAAGAAATGTATTACATTATTGATTTATTGTTTTTGTATTTCTTTTTACATTCAAATTAGTTTGTTGAAGATTATGAGCCAACAAAAGCAGACTCCTATAGAAAGAAAGTTGTATTAGATGCAGAAGAAGTTCAAATAGATATATTAGATACTGCTGGACAAGAAGATTATGCAGCAATTCGAGATAATTATTTTCGAAGTGGAGAAGGATTTCTTTGTGTATTTTCTATAACAGAGGATGATAGTTTCCAAGCTACTCAAGAATTTAGGTGAGTAATAAAGTATTTAATCTGATTTATGTATATGGAATTTTCAAGATAAGATTACTTGATTCTGTATGTCTAGAGAACAGATACTTAGGGTAAAAAACGATGAAAACATTCCATTTCTATTAGTGGGAAATAAAAGTGATTTACAAGAGAAAAGAAAAGTTAGCTTAGCTGAAGCTCAAGCTAGATCACAACAATGGGGTGTACCATATGTAGAAACAAGTGCAAAGACAAAAGAAAATGTTGATAAGGTAATTTAATAGCCAAATGTTATTCTTTTATATTTACATATATTATGTAAGTAATAATAGGAAAATAAACGTTTCTTATGAAATTAATGTTATTAAAATTTTTTATTAATAATGATGAGATTTATATAATTGTATGTAAAAAGTGCATCATTGATATTTTATGATATTTTATGATAAATTTATTGTAGCTTTTAGAATATAATGATTGCATGAAATATACTTATTTAGCATAATTTACTTTATGATTTATTTCTTTTGCTACACATGTATCTTATAGCTTTTGCACATAATTCTTTGCAATGAAAATATACTGGTGCAAATATAAGATTAATACACAAATATCCATTGCATATTATTTTTAATTTATAAAGCACTTTTTTCAAGCCTTGAAGCTTTGAGATGGCATCAATTGCACATTTCCAGGTATTTTTCGACTTGATGCGTGAAATAAGATCGCGCAAGATTGAAGATAAATCAGCGAGCAACGGTCGCGGAAGGGACCGTGCCAACAGGAAAAAACCGAAGTGCAAAATTCTATAGGTTTGCTGCTCTTTTGCACTGTTTTTAATCTTTCATAAATGAAGAATTTAATAATGATTTGGAAATCTTATATGTTGCAATATTCTTTTTACTATTTTCTGAAATTTAAATAAGTATGTATATGTGCAATTATTAGCAGGTAACAATTATACCAGAAGTATCAACCTTCTGCAAGAGTGTCTCTCACAGGCACGTACAAAAGAAAATTTCTTATATGAATTTCGCTTGTTATGGTGTTTCCAGCTTATGCCTGAAATACTGCATATGCATGTAAAATCTCAGTTCAGTATACAGATTACAAAGGCACAAATTGACATGTTTCTTTAATTTTTTCACATCATCTTTTATAAAAGAAAGAATGAAACTGTATTTATGAATTTTTACATATTATAGTAAAAATAGCTTATTGCTACGCATGCGTACTTTAGCGGTGCAAATATTATGTATTACTGTATTATATTTCTCTTTATTATGTTTTATATTATACTTTGGTTATATCGATTTAATTAATACAATTTAAGCGAGAGGTACGGACAGAAATGAATATTATTTTTTGTCCCAGTATTAATAATATATAGTAAAGTTATTATAATTATAATATTCGAATAAAAAATATATTGAGATATAATATGGAAATTAACAATGTTCTTGTATTCTATTGCAGGTATTCTTTGACTTAATGCGTGCAATAGCTGCACGTAAAGCGCAGGAAAATCAAGGTGACGGAAGCGAGCGTAAGAAGAAAAGAAGTTGTTGCGTTTTGCTCTAACAAACATAAAACAACGCGTATAGCTCCTATAACGGAACGTTCAACTCCTAATGGCAAAAACCTGAGTAAGAGAAGTGTATTTATATACATACATACATATATACATACAAATGCGTCACATAACGTACACATGCAGAAAAAAGTTTTCTGACACTTTACAGTGAATTGACATTAGAAATAAATATAAAACAATTACATTGGAAACACATAATTTACATGTTATTTAATAATTATCATATCGATAGGTGTAAACTTTGTACTCTTTTTCATCTAACTATTAATTGTTTAATTTGTAATGCACTGGTGCATATAATTATAATTCATATATATTAGTTGTTAATTTATGTCACAGTATTTATTATAATCCAGGAAGAGTAAAAGTTTCTAATAGTGCACAAAGGTATATTATATATGATGAAATTATTTTTTAATTTTTCATTTCTGTTAGAGTGCTGAAATGTATACAGTTATTTGATTATGTACTATAAAAAGAAGACAAAGGTGGAGAAGGTGAAGGAAAAATACGTGTATGCATACATGAACATAACATATGTTCATGTATATATACATTATATATCTATACCATGCACAATATTTCGTGGTCATTCAATGATAAATAAAAATGAAAGAAAACGTTGGAAATATTTATTATGAAAATGCTGTAATTGATTTTATTAGCAAATAAAATTACTATATATTCATTGATGTATTTTGTATATTTCTTTGTAACCTTGAATGATTTCAGCACTCTTGCTTTATATTATTATCTATTAATAAAATGTTGACAATTTCGATTTGTTTAAATTATTTATTTCGTAATAAGATAGTTACAGCACTGTAAAGTAAAGAAGACACGTGATCATTTATCCACAATTTGCTTACTATTAATAGTATTTTCTAAATATTGTTTACAATTTACATTATGTACAAATGTAACAGTTTATTATTTTTATGTTAAGATGGCTTTGTATCTTTAATATGTAAATGCAGAAAATAATTGTATTTACATCTAAAATTCAAAAATTATACAAAATTTGATTTTGTTTTTCAGATAAAGTGGTTTTATTCTTAAAATTGATATAATTTTTAATGATAATAAAATTTAAAAGTGATTTTAAACATTTGTATGGATTGAGTTTTAAATTGTTTTTAATATGTTACTAGTAAATTGTAACTGCATTAAATACAATTTAAATAACTTGTCTATTGATCTTTTGATTAACAGGCCATTAAGTATATTTAATGTACTATTTATTTAAGAATATACACTTTTACTGTTAAATGAAGGATCCAATTGTATGAAAAATATTATGTCTATATATCAGTATATTACAATAGACTGAGAACATAATTAATGCTATTTATCAGAAAGACTTAAACCTCTATGAGGTGCATTTATTTATGGAAAAATAAAAAGATCTTGATATTATATTTATATTTTATAACTATATATATACATACACACACACACACATACATACACATATAATATATATATATATATGGCTTTATAATGTAAAAAGAGTGGACCACTATAACTAGAATGGCCAATTGCGAGGAGGATTCATCCTGTATCTCTCAAGTTTTTCTACTCGTTTGATGTTAAGTCGATAGATGGTAGTATCAATCTTATTGAAGATATCCCAGAAGTTGTCAATGTCGACAAAAAGGTGAGTTCTGAATACTGTTACAATCTCATTAACATCTGGTCTTACTTGATTGCGCCTATTTTTATAGTTGTGACATACGTCGTTTCAGGTTATTGAATCGCATCGCTCTTGGTTACCACTTCGCCCGCCTTCAGCACTTCTGTTGTTCTGTTCTGTATCCAGAGTCTGTGTCTCCGATGGCTTCTTGTTGAGCATGTTTCCTATATTTTTGACCGTTTGTTGGGCCACAGCAGTTGTGGTCTTGATCATAACACCGACAGGGCTGTCAGTCAGTAAGCCCTCTACATCCTTCACTAGCAATATTAATACTATCTTCTATTGTATGGTAAAGTGCTATACCCATTTCGATACAGCGCTGATTAGAACTGCTCATGTACGACGGTTCCGTGGTGACAAGTCACGCGCTGGTCGGGTGTGATGTTGATGCTCGCACATTGATTTCGCGCTTATACCATGTAAGCTCAATGAGCCAATCCCCTACTCATTGGTTACACGTTTTCACTAAGTGGGTCTTATCCTTTAAGAATGAAATTCTGTCTTTTACTTGTTGTGTGTGTAAGAAATTCATATTGTCCAGTCTTTCTTCAACGAGCGACTTAAGTAACATAGTCCTCAATACAGCCCACGAGGCCGCACCTGCCAACAACTTGTGTTGGAATTCGGGCGCCCTACAACCGCTCCAGAAATACTTGGTTCATCTACATGATCATCTACATCAGTTGATCTGTACCTTTTGCTATTTTAAATGGTATGATTTTAGCTTGGGTTCTCTCTTCCGTAAAGTGAGTCGTTTTCACAGAAAGTTAACACTCTCCAATTTTGAACTTAGCTTGACATCTAATCTTTTTCTCTGCGTGTGTTTATAGTCCCTCGTCGGGCGCCTGCTAATTTTTTACATGGTCTTATTTTTCACATGTATATGCATATATATATATACACACACACACACACACATATACACATACATATACATATTATATATATGCGCGCGTGTGTGTGTATGCGTGCGTATGAGTGTGTGTATGTGCGCGCGCGCGTATGTGACTATTGAATACTGAAATTTTACAAAATAATTTGAAACATATTTATTAGTAATAACTTTTTAGAAGATAAGTAATATTATTTCTGCATTTGCGTTTTGATATTTTTGTACTATTGAAATTAATTGTGCCTTTTTAAGTGTTCACTGTTAACAAATTAAAATTAATGATATAATAGAGTTCTTTAAAACAGTTTTATCCATACATATAAATTAAATTATATTTCATCTCATGAATATTTGTATATGAAATATATATATTATACACATACAATTGTCACTTTATCCTAAATTAAATCATTTTTTATGTAATTATCATGCACTGTCATCTATTATTTAACTATATGTCTGTAGTTTTTAATAAAACATTTTATACAAGTTAGAAAAACAACTTTGTACATGATTTTTATATCATGCATTTTAAAATGATAGAAATATATTATTCATTAGCAAATTATGTGTGTAAGTATATATGTAATGTTAGTGCAATGTTAAATATATTATTTTGTCTGCACAAAACTAAATAAATATAAAAATTGTAATGTAACAAAAATAATCTTTAATTTTCCAATACTTCACTAAAAATACTTTTCTTTGAATTATATTTCAACATCAAATATTAAAAATCAAAATTCTTTTTTATGAGGAGTTATGTACATGATTAGTAATCTGTATTTTATAAATACCCGTTATATAAAGGGTAAAATAACTGGACAAAATTTTCAAATCTCCAATCAGAAATTGAAGTGTAACTATAGAAACTTTTGTTATCAGTGCAGTTTACTAACATCCAAAGTTACTATCAATCATTTACGAAAGATTAAAAAAAAATGAATATAAAAGTGTTAGATTTAAATGAAAATAATAAAAAATAATATGTTTGAGGTTAAGGAATATTTTTTAAGATTAAAAGCTAGTCATAATGCATAGTAACATAACATATTATCTTTATTTTATTATTTTAGGCAAAATATTAAAGTAATGTATTTTATTTTTTTTTGACAAAATTTCATAAAATTAATACAAAATGAGTAGTATTAAACTTGATGTACAGTGGTCTCCAGTTCATGCTAATAAATTTATTACATGGGGTACAGAAATCTGTTTGTATGAAGTTATACAAATTAAAGATAATAATAGACAATTATGTGAGTAAACATTGCTTATAAAATATGTTTCTGTTTTATATAATACTCAATGAAATCTGTTTCCTTTATTAAAAATATAATATGTATCTTATATATTTTTGCAGACACAAAAATTTCTGACTCTACTGTTGCACATTTACTTGCAACAAATACCAATCATCATTATGTTAAATGTATTGATATATATCCACAATTGGAACCAGATATTTTGTTAGCTGTTGGACAAGCAAATGGAAAAGTTGTCTTAACCACTTTTGCTCCAACAATTTTTGATTCTCAAGGTCTTAGCGGAAAAGAATTAGGTAAATTAATTCAATAAATAATTACATTTGTATTTTATTACATTTTTCAATTATTATAGTTCCAAAACATGCAAGACAGTGCAATACTGTTGCTTGGAATCCTATAGATACAAATTTAATCGTGTCTGGCTTAGATAAACATAGTAAAGATCATTCCATTTTATTATGGGACATAAACAAAGGCTTACAAGCCTCAGAAAGAGTACATCATCACAATACAGTGCAGGTAGATTCTGTAAGACCTATTGCAGAAGTTGGTGTTTCTGAAACTGTACATTCCATTGCTTGGTTTAAGCATGAACAAAAATGTATGGTAGTTGGTACTAATAATAAACAATTAAAAATTATTGATTTCAGAGGTATTTCATTATTTTAATACATGTTATATTACATTTTATATTATATGCATTAAATTATTTAATATTAGATTCTGCGAAAGTAATCAACACAACAGCCACTAAAGCAGTTTATAATGTATCAGTAAATCCACATAATAATTATCATTTAGTATCAAGTGTTGATAACCAGATAACCATTTGGGATACAAGATGCTTTGAAAAACCTGTTTTAACATTGTCACAAAACAGGCAAATTACAAAAGTTTTATGGTGTCCAACTAGGCACAATCTTTTAGGAGCTTTACAAAAAGACTCAGGTAAAGTATTACTTTAATTTTCTTTAAGTTTAATTATACATTTAATTAATGAGTATTAACTTTATTTTTAACAAAGTGACACTACATTTGTATGATATTCAACACTGTGGAATTGGGGGAGAAGATACAGAACCTGGGGCATTAGAAAGGACAGTTGCACCACCTTGGCATAGTCCTGTAAGTTTTTCATGGCATCCAACACATGTGAACAGATTGTTGGCAATATCTCAACAAGGTTTGATTATATTATAAATTGATTATATTATAAACTTTTAAATTTATTGAACAAAAAATTTATAATTTTGTGTTATTTTTTTAAAGGACTTACAGATTATACTGTTTGTGAAAGAATTACTGTAAATTGGTCCACACGATCTCATCTTGTCTGGAATCATGCTTCTAAATCATTTAAATATATATGTAGTAATGATAATATTTATAAAGCTTTAGATGATATTTCTATTTTAACTAAAACACGCGCTGCTTCGGAATATGGTTTACTTGTAAGTTAAAGTAATTTATAATTTATTGCGTATAAGAGCTTTAATATATATGTTTATAGCCAGAGTTGGCTCAAAATGGTGAATTGGCCGAAAATGATATTCTTAAAAATTTATGGCAATGGTTGTACTTAAGTCGTTATTTGGTAGAGGATGGAGCTATACCATGTGTAGACAACAAACATCCAGGTGTTAGGTAAATTAAAAACTTCCTAATTATATATTTGAAAATTCATCAAATAATATTTATAAATGTTACATAGAACAGTTTTAAAACTGGATGGCCAACAAGGATTTAATAATGGTTTTTTAAAATCGGAATTAATTCATCGCCCTTGGTCTGATATAGGATCGAATTATACTGCAAAGATATACAGGTATGAAGATTTACATGAATAGTAGATCATATCAATGTTTTGTAATATAATATTTTGTTGCAGATCTCCAGATAGAGATAAAGGATTACTTCTGTGTGGTTGGAGATTTGACAAAGATACCAATACCCTTTATGATAACTTGTTTTTAGAAAGATTAGAAAGAGAAGGTGCATATCCAAGAGCAACAGCAATAGCTGTATTTAATTTATGTTTACGGCAAGCCATAGAAATTTTAAATCGAGGAGCTACTAAAATGTCGATGTCCACAAATTTAAATATTGTTGCCATGGCTTTATCAGGATTTTCTGAAGATAGGAATAGTATGTGGAGAGAATCATGTTTAAAATGTAGATCTCAACTCTCAGATCCTTATTTGAGAGCAACTTTTGCTTTTTTAACAGCCGATGATTCTTATGATAATGTTCTAGTAAGTACATATAAATTTTCCTGCTTATTAAATTAATATTTAACACGTAATGTTTATGTATACAATGAAAAAAAAAATTTATAGAATGAAAGTGGCATGGCAGTTGAAGACAGAGTGGCATTTGCACTTATGTTTCTATCAGATAATAAGTTAAACGAATATTTAAGAAAATTGGCCCAAAAGTTGACTGATGAAGGAAACTTAGCAGGTTTCCTTTTAACAGGTTTGAGTAATTCAATTAGCACGTGCTAGTTATGATTTTTACTTATTAAATATTGTGTCTTAGGTGCAAGTTTAGAAGGTATACAATTATTGAATCGATATTTAGAAATTACCGGTGATGTTCAGAGCTGCAGTTTGATAGCTATTAGAGCGTTTACACCAAAATTGCTTCAGGAAAACCAAGTTCAAGTCTGGATTACTAGGTACTAAATGTTTATTTAGATTTTTATTTAAGAAATCGTTAATGTAACTAATTTAAAAAGTTTAAATATAGTTACAGGAATCTTTTAAATGCTTGGAAAATGTGGACTCAAAGAGCTCATTTTGATATCGCCATGCGATCTTCGACAAATGAAAAGCCTCCGCAACAAATATATGTTTCTTGTAATTTTTGTGGCAAAAGTATATCAGCTTTTATGCAAGGTTTAAGTAGAGCAAGAGGTCCTTTTGGGAGATTAGGAAGTACACCCAATAAATTAAAAGTAATATATTTCCTTTTAGACATTTGATAGAACAGTAATTAAAGTTTCAAATATAATAATAATTTCTTTTTATTTTTATAGATGTCTTCATGTCCAAATTGTAGAAAACCATTACCGCGTTGTGCAATTTGTTTAATGCACATGGGTACAGTAAGTGGTCTACAAATGACAACATCTGGTATTAGTAGAAGTGAAGAATGTGATAATAAATTGACAGAATTTAATAACTGGTTTACATGGTGTCAAACATGTAGACATGGTGGTCATGCTGATCATATTACTCATTGGTTTCGGTAATATATTTTAAAATCATCTGTTTATTGATAGTTAATACATTTTTCTTTTTTCTTTAAATAATGTAGTCTTGTTTAAACAGGCAGCATTCAGAATGTCCAGTAACTTCATGTACATGCAGATGCTTTTCTTTAGATGCATCATGTAAAATAGCAGTGGGTATAATATAAACAAAGTAAGATATTTAAAAAATTGGTAATAATACTAACAATCCTCATTACAGTTTTAGGATTTTATTTTGTACATTTCTTCAAACAGCATGGATATTGAAAACAAAGGATAATGAGTCTTTTGTTAATTATTTAATTTTGTTATAAAGAGAAAGCTTACAATTATTATATGTAAAAATAATTGTATTCTTATAAAAAGTTTACACATATTTCTATAATAATTTAAATTCCTGTGTCATCTTCAGATTTCTTCCATTTTTCTGGCCCTAATACATTTAAAATATCCATCAATTCATTATATTGATCAGCACCTGTAATGAATATGTTACTTAATTTTAAACATTTTATATTACATATAGTATAATATTAAATTGTATATTTACCAAAGTTTTCTGTCATATTTGGTGGAAATACGATGTAGTTACTGCAATTCATTGTAGACTTTGAGTGTAAAGTGCCATGAACTTCTATATAACCTTCAGCATTGCTATCAATTGGATCTGGTAAGGTTACATTAACTTGTATACCATCAGTTGTTCTTAATTCTAAATTTTTACCACTTGAACTTTTCTGGCAGATAAGAAAAAATACAATAAATCAAAGCAATTAATTTTAAAGAAATATATATCAAATCTATAAACAAACATTGATATCGAATAGTTATATTTCTATATTTTGTTTCATTAATATGAAATAAATCTTACTTTTCCTATAGTTCCAAGTAGAATTACTTGTTCTCCAATATTTTGTGCCAATCGACGGCCATCAATACGCTTCTTCATCTTTCTTATCCTTAATAATTGTTATTTTTTAACCGTTTGAGTCTCAAGCAGCGCTTGAGCCTTTCGGTAGAACACGGTCGAAAAACCCTGAACAGCGCGATGACGCTTATCTTAATTGAGTGCGAAGAAATCCAAACGGTGCGATAGCGCTTGTTTAATTTTATGTCGAAAAATCCCAATTGTCGCAATAAAGGTTATTGGTAATATGTGCCATTCATGCATCATTAAAGTTGAGCGCGATCGCGCTGCTTGGGACTCAAACGGTTAATGTTTTGGTAACTAAATTTTGTAACGATTTAGCAGTGACTTTAGTATCTTGAAAAATCAATAATTGAAATTAGAGGACCTATAATAAATATAAATATAGTCGTTTTCCTGTAAAATATTAATAAAAATTTACTACTCATTGTATTTTAAATAATTTGTAATTAATAATAAAAATATATAATTATAAAGATAATAATACATGTGTGTTTATTTAATAATATTTAATGATATATGGTAAGTTCCTCTCAAATTAATATATAAAATATTAAAAGTTTATTTATATTCATTTTTTAAAATATGTGTAATATATAAATTGTTATATATAATTATCGCACACACATATATAATACATATTAAATTTAATCTCCAAAATGTAGTGAATTTTTTTTTAAAGTTGGTCAACATAGTTTATTACGTCAATATAAGTAGTATTTTGAGTTCTACCGTCTAAAGTTTTTATTTCTATGTACTTTACGTATAGTCGGAGCGGCTTCTTCCATTCGTTTTTGGGTCTACGTTACGTCGCGTTGTATGAATGATTCTTAAAAGGATTGAAGCATATTATTTTCGTTATTTCACGGCAGTACTTACCGAGAATAAAGTACTAAAATTGCAGAGCAATTATCGAAGAAGGTAAATATTTTTAATAACGTTTAATACGTCGAAAAATACCGTCTATATTTTATCGACAGGATAATGGCTGCAATGCGACATTTAAAATTATTTCTTCCCTTTGCTAATGACTATAATGGTTAGAATCGATGAGTTTTATGATGAATCGAAAGGTATCGAAATTTAATAAACATATAACGCTATTATCATTATTAAAATTACATCATACATGATTGTGCTACCAACATATTTTTCGTTATCTGTCGTTAATGAAAAGTACTCTTTATAACATAACCTGATAATAATGATTATATAGGTATTGTGGATGTATCTTTTGCAGAATAAAATTATAGACAGATGGAACCAGAATCAAGACGCAAAGGACCAAGGAGTCCTAGTGCAGACTCAGAAGATTCATCTCACAGAAGAAGATCAAGAAAATATGATCGTTCTCCGTCTCCAAGAAGAAGTAGATATCGTAGATCTCGTTCCAGAGATAGAAGATCACGTTCCAGTTCTAGAGATAGAAGAAGGAAAGATTCTAGCCGTTCACAGCAAGAATGGAAGCAGCAAGCTGCATCTCAATCTCAAGCTTCTACTCCTAATCCAGCTAATCCTGGTGGCTATGTACCAGCAGTTCATAATCAATATCAGGTAAATTAAATATGAGCCAAAAAATAAAATGAATAGAAAGGAAAGTTATATAAACTATATGAATCATCTTATATGCTCAATATATATTTATTTTTTAGGCACCTCCACCTCCCAACACCAGTCAACCACCACCACCTTTACCAGCTTACAATCAAGGGTACAATAATTACAACTACAACTATGGACAAGGCTATGACTACAGTTATCAACAACCCACTGGTTATCGCAGTGTAAGTTTTTTGAAATAGAATACAATAGTTGAAAGGAGTTTGTCGTATGAGAATGATCATCTTATGTTGTGATAATTAAGATTGTATTGCATCTAAGGCAATGCAATTAAATTTGTCACTTTGTATTTATTTGTAAAAGTAATTATGAAATTATTACACAAACTACCAAAGTGTTAATATTTGGTAGAACTATTCATTTTTTGGGGGATGAACATTATGTTCTTTTGTATCGCGAAGTATTGTAAATCCCCTCGTAAGTATAACGTTCGCGTTGTTTATTTTATTGGCATCGACATTGGAAACCAGTATTATTGACCAGATGATTCATCTTCAAGAATCTTCCGTGTATTATCCAAAGTTCTGATTTGAGTATGGACAAATAAAGGTAAGGTTTGATAGAAGTATTGTTTGAGTATTTGACATCAAATGTATGTTTATTTTGTTAGGATTATCCACCACCAAATTGGCAAGGGAATCAGGTACCTTATAACAATCAGCAACCACCACCTCCTCCCACATTAACATCTCAACAGGAATCATCAAGACCAGTGGATAGTGGTTCCTCTGGATTAGTATCATCCTTGGCACGACCAGAAGATGCCAAGAAGGAAGGTAAGCTTTTTATTTTATTTTTATTAAAATTTAATTATTGCTATTATTTTAACCCATGTTTCCATCCTGTGCCTAGCAGCAATTGCAGCTGAAGTAAAGCAGCAAAAAGCAACCTTGGCTAAACAACGCGAAGAATACGTTAAGAAATCTGCTACATTGCAACGCGAATTGGAGATTCTACGACAGCAGTGCGATGAGATTGGTAAAGAAGGTGGACGAGAAAATAATCGTATTATAAAAGAAAATCAAAAGTTGCAGGTATATAATCATTATACATTTTACACGAAATAAGTATTGGTACATTTTAATAGTATTTTTTGATATGTTAATTTTTGATTAATAGATCGAGATACAAAATAAAATGAAATCGATACATAACGTAATCGATATGCTTACCGGAATTATAGGAGATAAAGCTACTGTCGATGATCTGAAAAGCAAGTTTAAGTTAGAAATTAGCAAACGTTCAAGAAGTCCTAAAGAAGACTTTCCAAAAGGAAAATCGGAGTCGCCCGACAGATCATCGGCATCCGACTCCGACAAGGAATCCAAAGTTGAAAGAGATACGAAAGAAAGAAGGTCTCCTGAAGATTCTAAACCTATGTACAATTTCGTACATTATGATCCAGAAATGCATTGGTGTAAAGTCTGCGATATATTTCCTAAAACGGCAAAGGAATATTTGAATCATCTGCATAGCAATGAACACAAAGAAGCTTGCTTAGTAAGTTGCATATTATTCTAATAATAGAGTCTTAGTAAAACTCATTCAGCTTTGGTATAGGTACTTTCAATAACTGAATGTAGAAATTTTTAATTGAAGATCGTTTTTATAAATAACTTTTATAATCATTAGAACAGGATGCAGAAAAATCTAACTGATAATTGATTTACATTGTGAGAGAACGAACGGATTCGGTTAAGACTATGTATTTCTAATTTGAACTATATTTGTATAAGGATGATATATTACAGTAACGATCGACCTGCAGGTACTTGGTACATAGTCTGATTGATGTACCATAATAATGTCTCATTAAAAAGTACCACCGAATATTTATACAGTATTATAGGAAACATTGTTATTAACATCTCATTCCCTACAACAGGAACGCAAGATAGTTGATATGCCGTGGCATGAGCGGAATGGAGAGGGAACGGAAAAGGAAGTGCCCTATTATCCTGGACTGCCAACGAAAAGAACACCTATTAAAGGTATGGTTCATTTCAGTGGATAATTACTAATAGAATACAATTCCGTAGCTTGTGCACAGACACTGTGGTGTCCGGTATGTATTGAAGAGATCTACAACTATGATTTGCTCAAAAATTTGCCTGCATTAACATATATATTATTGATGTAGTCGAATTACGTACACAAAAAAAATAGCTATGTTTAAAATATTTCTTGCTTTTCTTTTTTTAAATTGTTAAAGATAATGTTTATTACTGAAATGAATTGCTTAAAAAATTGTTTAAAAAATTTATCCACAGAACAGTATTTTTTATTTCTGTGAAGTGTTTTATACACATCATAATGTTAGCAGCAAATTTTGTAGCAATGATATAAACACCATAGAGATGCACTGGATTTTAAATGGACTCGAGGAGCACACTTTCGGGCGATTTCACATATTTCAGCTTCTATATTCGAACTATTTAAAATTATTCTTCGCAAGTGTACTGTTCGTCGGTTCATCATAGGTCTATTTACAGTCAAGAATGAACAAAGGAAGATTTTAACAATGTGAAACATATATCAATATAAATAAATGTTATCATAATGCTGGTGCGTGTATAAATATAAATAACGTATATAGTTATATGAAAATGTGTAAATTGTGATAATCACTCGTGTCACTTATTTTACTTAGAATATTTGTTATATTTATAAATATATTTATGACATATATTATAAATCGAAATATTTTTGTGAAACGTACTGTAAATGCCTGTTAATAGAACTAATTTGTATATAAAATATTAACAATTAGTAATCTTTAGCCTTTAATGATTAATAAAAGCTTAAAAAAAAGACGAGAAACATAAAAGGCAGTTACAATATGTCTGAAGTTCCATGATATGTTATTTTTTGTAATTTATCATTTTTATTTTACTTGTGACATCTTTGTGGTATATTTGTATGAATAAAATATGATTTTTCCCTCTCCTTTTTTCTTCTAGAGATCGACGAGGGACACTACAAAAGAATATTTAATGTTATCAACCTTTGTTGAGCATCTTTTAATATATATTGTTTTTGTTTTCAGTGACATGAATGTGTCGTGGCAGAATATAAGGTCATTCTTTATGAACTTAAATTGTTTATCATTTTCAAAGCTTAAGTAATGCTAATTGTTAAATTATTTGCTTATAGGTTTACAGTTCTTCAGCGCTGCGACGGCATGGTACTGTAAGCTTTGCGATTCCTGGATTGGCGATCTTCATTGTGCAAGTTTGCACCTAAAATCTAAACAGCATTCAGAGAATTATTCCGTAAGTTTCTCTAATTTAAATTTTATATTATTAAAGAAGGAAAAAAAAAATTGATGGATTAACATTTTTATTTAGCATTTTGTCGAACAAAACCCACATTGGGAAACTGATTGGATGGCGGATCGTGAAAAGGCGTTCTCAGAGGAAAAGCATAAGCAGATACAGATGGAATTGCAAAAACATAAAGACGATGATCCACCACCAAAGTCGAAAAAATCAAAGAAGAGCAAGAAGAAATCGAAAAAATCTAAGAAACGAAGAAGGAGTAGTGGTAGTGATAGTTCCAGCGAATCAGAAAATTCAGATACAGATTCTGATCAGGACATGTCCAAGAGTATTCGCGTCGCTATGCGAAATAAAATGAAAGCATCGACGCAAGCGATACTAAATGAAGAAATAGATTATCACCGAATAAAGTTAAAAGGACATTGGTCAAAAATGGCGCAGCATTTGAATCAACCACCAACTCCAGAGCCTCAACCAGTGGAAACTGATGACAGACAATTGTTAAATTCGATCAGAGACAAATTAAAAGCGAAACAAGAAGAGGAGATGAAATCTATTAGCAATCGAAGATTAAGTCAAGAGAAAGAGATCGAAGAAGAAGAAGAAGAACAAGATCAGACTTCTTTCTTGAATAAATCAAAACCGGAAAATTTAGAGGCCTGGGGACCGAAAGAACCTCCGAAACCTTTCTGGATAAAAAAGGAAGAGGAAAAACCGCAACCCATAGCTAATAAACCAATTGAACTACCAAAACCGGAAGAAATGCCTAAACCACATATGGGATTTTGGACGAAACAGCAAGTCAACATGACTGTCAAACCACCTGAAAATAAATCAGCGGATAAAGAGGATGAAAGAGAACGGGATAGCGATAGATACAAAGATGATCGTGACAGAAAATATGATAGACGGGAAGACAAATATGATCGTTATAGTAGATACGACAGAAGACGCGCACGAGACAGAGATCGAGATCGTGATAGGGATAGGGATAGGGATAGGGATAGAGATAGAGATCGTGACAGGGATAGGGATAGAGATCGAGATAGAGATTATTATGATGATCGAAGGAAACGAGATAGCAATGATTCTCCGCGACGCGAAAGAAGTTGGCGTGATAGCCCAAAAAGGAATTACGACAAATACAGTAAAGACAGAAGAGAGGATAATTCATCTAATGATGAATCTAAGTTCGAAAAGAAAACGAATGAGTCTGCATCTAAATCTAAAAAAGGTGGTGTACAGACTAAAAAGTCGACGCCCCAGGTATCGAAAGGTAAATTACCTTTCATCGGTAGATTACCGCTGTTTAAAAAGAAAGCTGAAGAACCAAAGTTGCCTGAGAAAGATATTACTCCTCTTCCTTATCAACAGAGTAAATTCGAAGATACACCCAAAGTTCCCAATGAAATTATAAATCCACCTGGTGTGGTACATATCACCAAACTTGCAACTCCAATAAATCTGGGTAATAGCAATAATAATAATAATAATAATACCACCAGCAGTAACAATAATAATAGTAGCACCACTACTAGCATAACAAACAACAATAATAATCCTAGTAATAGTAATAATACAAGCATTGCACCTACTCAAAATAAAAATCAACCAATGAAAATATTAGTAGCTCCACCACCGCCAGTGTTAAATGAAACAAAACCCACACAACAAGTAGTTGATATGGAGATTGAAGATCAATCTGAGGAAACAGTAATAGAGGAACCTATGATAGAGCAGCAAAAACAAACACATAGTATATCAAAGTTACCTCTGCCTCCACATCCTCCGCCTCCTCTGAATAGACCACCACCATCCTTTCCAACTTCATCACAGCAACAGCAGCAACAACAACAGCAGCAGCAGCAACAACAACAACAAACGGTGCAAAGCAGGCCACAATTCCCTACGAATCGACCTCCGCCACCATTTATTACTAATCCATCGCCATTCGTTCAAGGTCAACCACGGTTTTCTGCTCATCAGCCAGTACGCCCACCGGTACAAAGTCATCCTCCTTTTATGGCAAACCCACCACCTCAAATGCCTGCTGTTCCTCCTTATGTTCAAAACCATCAAAATCCTCCACCACCTCCACTACCAACTGTGGAGAATACTACACAAGATATTTCTGACATCCCAGAACCTACTGAAAAACGAACCGATCCGAGCATTCCTCTACCTGATGATTTACAAGAGGCTCTAAATATTATTTTTCCGAAAGAAGAAACAGAAACAAAACAGCAAAGTCAACAAGAAAGTAACATTATGTATTCATCCATGTATAGTATGTTAGGATGTGTTGGGTATGGGCCAGAATACATGGATCAACCACCACCAGAAATTACTCAAGCAGAGGCAGAAGTAGATACTCAACCAGGACCAGATGACTTGAAAATGTTAGGCATTGACGAAGGAGATACAATCCTATAAAACTTTTTATAAATTCACAATGTTCTCTGACTCAAATGTTTTTTTCATAAGGATTTAGCGTTAAACTCTATATCACTTTGACTATCTATCCAATTTCGTTAAAGTGGTTATTATTTGCAAACTGATGCATGAATTTCTTGATGTAAAATTTATATGATATATGTGTTAAAAATCAAATTATCTAATTGTGTAAACTAGTATTTCTAATGGAAAATAGAAAATGTTTTCCTTTTGCGTACTAGTAACGCATCAGTTGATACTATAGCGTTGCCTTAGCAAATCGCAAGAATAATCTTACGAAATATTTACTATTTTCTATTGAATATACTGTTTTTGTTTAATTTTGAAAAAATTGTCTTGAAATCCCTAAAAATTTACGAAGACTAAACCATTTCAGTGTCATATAATTACTTTGTATTGGAGAATATATATATATATATCTTGGGCATACGTCAAAACTTAAATTTCCATTTGTGCATAAGAGTATTAAAAACACTACTTTAAATATGTAAGTAATTGGTTATTTTAGTTGTCTAGAACACATTTACTTTAAATATTATTAAGAACAGGATAAACACAATATTTAGAAAAAAATACAAATTGTAAATTTGATTTATGAATAGTATTCCATTAATAAATGTTATGAAACATAAAATTGGATGAAATAAGATTGCAAACATTACACACACACATATATATATATAAATCATACTCTATATACAATTGCAATGTGTTGGAGTATGATATATATGTCAAGCATTTGTAATATACCCAATACTGATATACAATATCGTCGTGATTTTTTAAAAGTTGTTTAAGTATTTAACAATTACTTCAAGATGAAATAGTATTTTTACTATACTATAATAAAACGAGCAGTAACGAATTTCAAACAACTATATATGTACAGGATACAGAAATTATAACAATAATTTGTTAATTTCAATTTTAAAACTAGTTCTTGAAACAAATGCATGAAATAAAATAACATTTAGTCAAAAGGTATTGTGTCTAGTTTTAGTATAACTTTTATATCTAATACATCTTTTCTTGTTTTTTCTCATTCTCTTCCCTTTTCTTTGTTTTTTCTTTTCGAAAATGTCATTTAATTTCATGCAACATTCTAAACGTGTTTCTTCTCACACAAAGAGATAAAATATTTATACATTTTTTTTATAGATCTTTTTCATATTTGCATATCTAAATTGATATGTGAACGATTAAAGTCATTACCAATCCTATTTAATATTAATTTTAGGCTTTGTGATATGTAACTTACTTCAGAAAAACACAGAACAAAATATAAAAAAATTATTGCATTTTAATCTCTAAATAACATCTGCATATCAGAAAATAATGATAAATATGTTGTTTCTTGGAATGATACCTCATGGAATGAACTGTGATCTAAGTTTTAAGAACTGATGTGCACTGAAGTCTAATTTCACTCTGTGAGTGTCAAAGTAGAATGGTACGAAAATTTAGTGTTCTTCAACTATTTTAAAACATACAAAGTATATTAGATCTGCAATACAAGACCCGCGCTTGAAATATTATCTCCACCGCCAGCCGTTTGCGCGGCTTCAGTGCAAACTAATACTGGTGCCACACATACTTGAATAGAAATATCTTTGTTTTCTATTTTTAATATTTCTTCCCAACACGACACTGGTTTATCAGTATTTAATGCTATCCGGGTCCCATCAACAAGAGATGTAGAAAAACTATCATCTAAAATCAGCGCTGCTTTCTTAATATCGATCTGAAATTTCATTTTATATATATATATAAAACATATAAAATAAACTTTATAACTTTACTATTAACAAAATATAATTTTTATATTTACTTACATGACTTGTTGCACATACATGTCTGTGAGCTGTCAGTGATGCTTTAGCTGCTGCAGCCATTGTATTTTTCCACATAGAGCCTTTTACAGTAAGTATAGCTTGGTATGCTAATGTATGTACATGCATTCTCGTTACTTCTCGAGAATTATTGATAGTCTTATTTCTTATACGTAATAATTTAAATAATGTCCGCATTTGATCTAAGACTGTTGCTATACGTGGCGTTGAATTTGCTACTAATGAAATATTTCCATAATACATTGCATTGTACAAATTAGCTATTTCTTGCTCATTCATTCCTATACTATCGGCAAATGGTATAATTGAATTGCATAGTTCAAAAAGTAATTTATCTTCCGCGAATGAAGCCATTTCAAAATGAATTTTAGTTGATACAGATTGATTTATCATTTGCCTCTTTACTTTGTATAAAAGTTTTTCTCTATCGCCTGCTTTTTAATAAATGTTTTACAAAGCAACTTATAAAAATGATAATTTAAGACTAGAATTTCAATTACCATTTGGGAATGGATAATTATCCATCATTTGTAGTCCACTAATAACAAGTAAATTAGGTTGGTATGTTGACAGAAGTTTATCAAATGCATCAAGAGAACTAATCTTTGGGTTATTGACATCATTGTGAATTATATACCTAAAAAAGGTCTATAATTACTTAGGTATAATTATTTAAGAATATCTAGCATTATATGATATTTGTATAATACTTAATCAAATTTTGTTATATCTATACCTATTAGCTCTAGCACTTGAATATGGACCCCAAACATCTCCATGTTTATATTCTATTACTAAATGAATATCATCTCTTTTTAATTCACCTCCTACAATATTAATAACTTGTGGCATCATTTGATGAAGGGATCTAGTCAGTTTTGCAGCAAGTGTTACATCACATCCTTCTCTTGCAAACCTTAATGCCATAATTGCTGCATTACCACCAATGGTAGAATATGAAGATGGAAATGAACGAGCTTTTGCAACAAGCTCATCAAACAATGTCCTATTCGCCATGTATCTTCTAATTAATTAAAAGAATATAGTATTTTATACAAATTTAGTCACATTTCACAAAGACATTAAAAAAGCTATACTGTTTATTAAAAAATGTAACGTTTAAATAAGGATAGTAAATAACATGGTAAAAAAAGAACTTACTCTGCTGCAGCTCCATGACGAAAATAATAGGCGAAACTTTTTAAAAGTTCTAACTCTGTATTAATTTCATTAAAATGTTGTGGTCGTCCAACTTGTTCGGAATAGTTCAATAACTCTTTAGCATTGACATATACATCAGTACACATTCCATAACCTATTGCAACTGTTGGTCGTGAAGTCATCACGTGTTTATTTTCAAGCTTTTCCAAGCCATAAATTAAAGCTTGCAAACGTTTCTGCAGAATATCCTCTGAACTTCTATAGTAAATTGCAACTAAAACTATCAATATAGTGAACACTGTACCAAACTTTAACCCCCTGTTATACCCCATTTCGAATTCTAACGAGAACAATGATTTTAGCGCTGTAATCACTGACAAGGAGAGTGCAACTCCTTCGGGTCACCGATTTAGTTGAAACTTTGCAGGTTTGTAGATATCGTAATGCAGTTTAAAAATATATATCATTATAATTTCAACTACTCAATAGATTTTTAGATATTTACGATTAGTTTTATTTTTCCGGTAATGACAAATGTATTTTCAGCATTTCACAAGCGGGGTTGTAGCTTAACGGCGACAGTCGAAATTTCCTATACTGCAGGACTCGGGTTCGATTCTTGTTCATAGTACAGGTTCTTTTCAGATCTAATTTTTATTTTGTATTTATTTTTCGCCAATAAAAACATTGTAAATAAAATTTCTTAATAAAAAATGTATTTTCTATGCTTTCTTATGTTAGTATATATTTATTACAAAATAATAAGAATACTATACAAGAAAAACACTTTTCTACAGCAATCTTATTTACTACTGAAAGAAAACGAAAATATAAGTAATAACTAGATACAGAAAATACAAATATAATTATTACATAAGCTCATGTAAGTATTAATTATTAAATTAAACATTGAATAAGAATGTTGCCTATAATTCCAACTTTGCTGTGTAACTATAAATGTTCATGAATTAATTACAGAACATTGAAAATTTATTAATTTTCATACTGCCGAATTGATTTATTAAGATGTATTAGGAGCACATAATCAGAAGAAGTATCTGGTTCAAATAAAAATTTTACCGTCTGCGATCAGCGCCATCTATGATTTTGGAATAGTTTCTCAAATAGTTTACTAACTCTGGTTACGTGCACCTAATATATTTTAATTTATTTTAATAAATAAAATCATAAAGTTTTCTTCATTGTTTAATAAATTCAGCCGAAACAGCGGTTTTAATTAGACAATCAGCATTCATTTCTTTATCTGACGGACGACAAATATGCAAAGGTACGCCTTTATAACGCAATTATAAAATTTCATAAATTAATCATAGAAACTGTGTGATTTGTTAATTTTTTTCCAAGTGAACAGGAGAGTGCATAGGAAATGAGAAAAAATTGCAAACAAATGTCGGAAACATTGTTGTGTCCATGCAGATGTGCCTGCATCACGAAAAGAATGTAAGTATTTGTATTAACATAACCTTTAGTTGTAATTAAATAGTGTAAGTTATAAGCCATTGTTTTTCCACTTTTCATTAGTGATAGCAGAGCTTGGTTGCAAAAAGACAATATTCTGTTGAAATAAACAGGCATGTGCAACAATAGAAAAATATTCATCTCATGGAATATCATTAGCGTAGATGCCAAAAATTATATTTTATAGCTAGAAAAAATTGAAGCAGCAATACATATATGTAAAGTATAATATGCCTATTGGATTCTAGGTCGGCTAACCGTATGACATACATGATAGAAATCCTTGATATTCAAATAAAGATTCAGAAAATGGAGATGGTTTAGGCAGACAAAAAGGAATACAATTAATTTAGGTGATAGCCCCTTATAACAACAAGATATGGAGAATACAGTGAGACTGAAAGGTATGTTGTATTCCTGATCTAAATAAATATTAATATGAAAGGTCAAACTAAATGATCACTGTTAATGTGTTAAGTTCGAATGAAAGCAGTGAGAAGAGGAAATGCATATTATGCGGAATCAAGAAACAGAAAAGCGCAAACATATGTATCAACAGAGAAAAATGTGTGGCATCGACATGGAAATATGAGGATTATTGAAGAGATGGAGAATGAACAATTGATAATAGTTATAAAAGGTAAAGTAAATTGAATATAGAGTGTAAATGTTGCATTAAGGCAAAAATGTCTAGTAATATCTATAGGGACTTGGAAACTATAAAAGAAGAAATTATAATGGTGCTGTGGCGCATCATGGACTTCATTGGGCTAATAAAGCCAATGTCAAAAGGAGGTAAAAGGTATGATTATTCGAGAAAAGAACCATTTGGTTGACTGATTTATAAATAACTAAAGATTTAATATGAAATATTATTGATAAAGGATTTTTTCTATTATGGGAGACATACAAACATGAGTAATATTTATATGCAAGAGCCAGCCACTAAGGGTAAAGTAATAAGTATCATTTAATAATACTTCAATGAATTGTATACCTGTTTTTAAAAATTTAACAGATATACAATATTTACTTTCTAAATTTCTATATTAATTTATTAAATAATTTCTAATTTGAATTACAATAACAAATAATAAATTTTAATAAATTTGATTTTAAAAGTATTTTAAATTAATCAAACTAATATATTTGTTATAACTAGGTTG